TCATTTGTTTTAAATGTTTTATCAGCTTAACTTCCCGAATCCTTAAACCTTTGAGAAATACTAAGGAGTGCTGAAAAAGAGTTTTTGAAAAAGGATAACCAAATCATTTTGTCCAACATGCAAAGTTCAGTGTTTATCTGAGTCACAGTGGCTGCCCTCTCTCTCCCCTCACGCCACTCCCTTGACCCTGTTTGACCCTTCCCATCTGGCATTTGATAGCTCTCCTGTGGGCATGACTAGTGATTGAGTCCAAAAGAAACATCTCTGGTTCTTAGCTGCGCCCCTCCTGGCACTCTTAGCAGGCACTTGCTCAGCTGACTCATAGAATAAATGTCTTGTGAAGAGCAAGGTGTATCTCTTCGCTTGCTTGCTTTCCCCACACGCCTCACAGCAGACACATGTAGAAAGAAGCGTGATCCTTTTTTGAGGAGGTAGCTTGGAAGCCAGAATCGGTTCTGCCCTGTTGCCGTTGCTCAGAGCACATGTGGAATGCCTCCTGGATTTGCCCTGCAATTTATGGCCTAATGACTCAGACATCTTTAAAGATAGTGACTGAGTCCTTAAAGTAAGTTGGTTATTATTGCTTTGTCTGTTTTCTAAACAAGCCAAAGTAACTTAGAAATAAGGTGAACAAAAGGGAACTTAAAACTCTGATCCAAAATCAGGGGAAAATCATAAAATCATAAACCTGGCTTTCTTGTATGACTCTAACCCCCACCAAAAGGCAGCTGTAAAGGCAGTCTTTCAAGTGCCTGGCACTGGGATCATAAGCTCAAGGGGCGGACCCAAAGGTAGTCTCATTTCAGAGATCACTCTCACAACTTTGTCATGCACACCTTGTCTCTACACTGGCTGACTTGTGATTGCCCTGTAGGAGAATGCCTGAGTGGAATTGTTCTGCTACACAAGGGAAGTGAAAAAAATAAAGGGATATTAAAAGGATGTGTTCTGGAGTTAAGCCACATGAATTCATATCTTACCTTTACCCTTTGCTAGAGGTGGGGTTCTGAGCAGGTCACTCTGCATCTGGAAGCCTCCATCTGTTCTACCTTAAAACTAGAGAAATGATAATAGCTCACTACCCATGCAGGCAAGGTTAATACTGTGTCCTAGAGAACAGGGTGCCTAGCACATGGTCAGCACTGTTTCAATGATGCCTGAGATTTGCTTTAATCAGGGAGGTAAAGACACGCAAAAATGACTTTCTGGAAAGAAGTGTGTTGTACTGACAGGCTCCTGGAATCAGGAGGCCCAGCATGGCATGCTGCAGCACCAACTGGAAGCAGCAGGTTCTTCCAGGAAGAAAAGCAAGTGAGGGGCAAATGTGGGCAAGAGCCTATTTTTTAATTTTTTTTTTACTTATATATATTTTATATCATTGTTCATTTTTAGACAGTGTTTGCTTCCCTCCCCCCTCTCTCCAGGTATAGTCCCCATAGAATTTCCTTCACCAATTCACCCATGCACCTTTCCTCTGGAAGGAGTTGGTGAGCCAGGGTAAACAGGCCTAGGACGGGATAGTTTAAGTAATGTCACAGGCTTAGAGCCTGAGGGCTCTCTGTTGTTGTCTGGTGTCTGATCCTGGAGTGGTTTGGATGGGGGAACAGTGGCCCAGAACATGAGACCCTGTGGAGTAGGTAGTGAGTGTGTGGGTTCTGGATTGGTTGGTTTACATATGAAAAGCATATTCTCTGGCAAAAGTTTGCTATGTCCAAAAATTAGCTGGTCCTGGGAAGCACAATCCCTGTTGGGTCAGCATGGCACCAGGATGTCAAAGCATCAAATGTAGAGAATAAAGAAATATGATCAATACAAGTACTTATTAAGATTGATCTCATCATCATCAATCCTTCTCAGAGTTCCCCTGTAATGGAGCAAACTGGAAGTTATGTATAACTTCTGTGTTAACATTCTGAAACTGTATTAGTGACAGTTCAATGCTAACATCAGTCTAATATTTGGGAACTGAAAAGCAGAATCCTTTTTGTTAATTTAAGGACCCAGCCAGCATTATTGGAGAACCACATCTAGTTTTGTATTTTGTATTTTGTAAAGAAGTGGAAAAATTGGAGAGAATCCTGAGACGAAATAGTAATGGTGTAAAAAAATCCATAAAGAAAAGTGACAGATGCTGTGATTTGATCTAGAGTCATGATATTGGCAGAGAGCTTGCCTACCCTTAATTACTGGTTCATGTGAGGAGAAAACTAGAAAGCTCTGACATTCTCCATATTCAGTGATCATAGAACAAAATGAAACAAACTCATTGTGAAGCAAGTAAAGTTTAAATTTGTCCTCAACTAAAGAAAAGGCAAATCCTGATCCTCGTTCTGCAGGCACCCGCAGTGACAGCAAACAAGTAGGGTCTGAATGGTGGTTGAGTCTCAACAAAGAAATAGACACCTTTCAGCTTTCACAGAGATTATGTGTCTCAGACTCAACTGAATACCTAACCAGGTGACCTCTTGGTAATCTCTCAGGATTATCTGTCTCTATTACCATTTCTATGTTCTTCAGTTCTCTCCTCTGAGCCCCAATGTTTTACTTTTTCTCACTTCCTTTTCACAGAGGGAAAAACACACACACACACATTTAAAAAAAAAGAAAACAAATAAAAAAAAAAAAACCTATAGCTTTAGATAGTTTGTGAAAAGATTGCTACACAGAAGAGACTGGACTTGATATAGGGTAGTTTTAAGGTGTAACAGAGAGACCATCTAAGGCCCTGGGGTCCCGCCTGCCCATGTTTAGTTTAGTGAGCAGGTTGGCAGAGAGAGATGGGGTGAGAAGTCTGTGCCCTGCCCTCTCCCTTCCCAGGTTGATTCCCAAAGGAAAAACAGGACCTAAGGTCACATACCTTACATTCATTGAAATTCATCTACACATCTCACAGCAGTTATATTTGATCTTCCCAAATAGCTCATATACCTTCCCATCTGCATATTGTATATTGCAGAAAAAATTCAGAAAGTACAGGTAAACAAAAAGAAAATTATCATCACCTAGGATCCCACCAACAGTGTCAATGATTCTTTTCATTTGAGGACATAATTTTCCATAGCTCCTTCTATATTAAACATAAGGATTTTTTTTAAAAATGCAAAAGAATTATGTTTAGTTCTTTAGTTGTTTTTAAGGGGGGGGAGGAAGAATATTTTTATCATCTTTTAATGTCAAAAATTGTTTTATTGAAATACCATTTTTAATGGTTGCAGACTATTCCATGATACAGATACAGGTATCCAAGGTGACTTCCATTTCACTAATGTTGGACATTCAGAACTTTTCTGAATCTCTTTTATATCACAGATAGTGTTTTGATGAACATCCTTGCAGATAATTTTTGTACAATTCTGCATATTCATTGAAGATACATTCCCCAAAGGGGAATTATTGGTTCAATGGATAAGCATGTTTTTAAGGATTTTGATACAACTGCCAGATTGGCCTCTAGAAAAATTCAAACCCTTATTAGTTTGCTCACCATCTGTCAGATCTTCAGGATTTTATGTCTCCCCTCTTCACTGGTGTCCTCTGTGTTGGGGGTCATCTATTTTGCCATTAAAGATTTGAAGACAACAATACCTTTCCTGTATGCTTCATGCCTTTACTTCTTAGAAATGACTCCTCTGGTTGACTTCTTTTTTCCTTCTGGGTATATCCCTAGAAATAAGTCAACAATAAGAAGGTAGCAAAAAATATCCCCATTGTTTGGAAATTTAAAAAATATGTTTCTAAAGATACTTGAAATCAATCAAAGAAAAAAATTCTATTCAAAGTTAGAGTATCTTTTTAACTGAAGGGTAATGAAAATGCTATATAGCAAAACTTGTGCGTTGATGGTAAAACATAACTAAAAGGAAAACTTGCAGCTTTAAGAAAAGGATAAACACTGAAAATGAGTGTGAGCTAGTAAGAATCCAGCTCAAGAAGTTAACAAAAAATAAATAGCTTACTGAATGAATGAGAATAAGTGAATGAATGAAACTCTTGAGTGTGGCAGCTTGGCAGCTCATTATCCATCCCTCTCACTCCTGAAATGGTGCCTGACAAATAACTGTGACTTGACGAACATCAAATGGGATTTGTTGAATCTTAAAGGCCTGATTGTGAATACATGGTGTTTCAAAACTGTCAAAGGTTGGGGCCTCCCTGGTGGCACAGGGGGTTAAGTCTCAGCACTATCAAGCTATCTGCAGCCACTGCAGCATGAGTTCAATCCCCGGCCAGGGAGCTGAGCCACATGGCACAGCAGACCTCTCCTGTCTCGCTTGCTGCTCTCCTCACCAGTGTATTTCAGTAGATCTGCCTGTTCTGCTGCCCACTCTGTCTCTGGTGAATCCTCTCACCCCCACATCTCTGGCCTACACCCCAGATCTTGTATGCATAAGTAAATAAATCTTTAAAAAAACTGTCAGAGGTTGAGTAATAGTTCTAATGTGATTGGTCTACCAACATAATCCACCCAAGTGTCATTTAACTTCAGTAGATTCTGACTTGGGGAGTGGGAAAGGGCTAAAACGCAGTGATTTAAGCGGGGTAGTGCAGATCACCACAGTGTGCCAGGTTGCAGCTGCCCTGAGCTGTAAGAAGGCTGCATCTTCCTTATCTCTAAACATCCCAGAGAAGGGTTTTGTATTTATTTTTCTAAAATATTTTGGAAATAAATGTTAATGATAAGTCTGTACTGTCCCATCAAGCACATTGCTTTTGATCATCAGAAGTCTAGAGCCACTGATCTTGTGCCTTTCACATAGGCAACCCTCAATTGGAGGTAAAGTTTTGCATGTGTAAGGGACAGGAGAGTAGGCTCTGGGGATCAGTTTGACTCAAGGAAAAAGAAGTGACTTTAATTTCATTAATGATCTCCTGGATTATTCTACTACAAGTTTAATTCTTCATTAAATATTAATGCTGCTAAATGCTTAGTATACTGCCTTTTAGTATCATACAACTCAAACTGACACTAACCTGTTTTATTTTTCATAATGGAATCACAGGGCTTTTTCAGGAGAAGTCAGCAAAGCAATGCCACCTACTCCTGTCCTCGTCAGAAGAACTGTTTGATTGATCGAACCAGTAGAAACCGCTGCCAACACTGTCGATTACAGAAATGCCTTGCCGTGGGGATGTCTCGAGATGGTGAGCACCACAGCTTGAGTTGTACAGTAGTGTGGGGTCATGAAAGTGCATTCTCAAACATGGATCTAGATCTGCCAAAATATGTCCCCCTGTTCTTCTTCTCTCCCTCCCTCCACCCCCAACACACACACTTGGTGGCTCATGGATTTCACTTCCTCCTCTATTATCCATCCATCAGTGAACAGGCCGTTGGGGGTGATGTGGAGAGGAGTCTCTGTGACTAGAACACCTTCCAGTTTTCAACATTTAAGACATTGCACGAGTGAATTTGATTGAATTTAAGTGTCATCTGAGGGCCTTAATAAATCTACCTCCTATAGGCATTTCCCAAGTTGGAAATGCAAACCAGAGAGAATTGCTATGTGCTTTAACCTAGTAAGCATGTTGGCAGTTGAAGTGAATTAGCTTTTATGCTAAACTGGGTACATTGAATCACTTGCCAAAATCAAATATTTATACATACAGAACATGTGAAAATAGTGCAAAGTATGGCTCAATGATAAATGCTCTTTTCATTAAAAGAAGTTATTTTAAGAGACTATCAACCATTCAGTTGCAAAACATTTCTAGATATTCCTGGAAAACTGTCTTGAGTGCACTGAATTATCAATACCAGATTTCAAAAAAGTTATTCTTATGCATGAAAATTGGGCAAAAAATACAGTGGGTACATTTTGAGGACTTTTCTGAATATACTAGCTGGCTGACTATATCAGAAGCTCCCTTTGAAGGAAACATCTCTTCAGTGGAGCTTCAGCCTGTGGAAAAATATTTCTGAGTATCATGCAGGCGTTCTGAAAGCCTGCTGTCCCCATAATAGAGAGTCCTGGACCCGCCCAGACCAAGTTACATCCTTCAGAACCTGGGGCCTGAGATGGCCTCTTAGAATATGTAGGAACAAAAGTGAAGTTTTTGACATTGGTAGATGCAAGTCCCAGAACTTACGCCATATTCTCAGAAATTCCCAGAGATGTGCAACTCTGCAGACTTCATCTTTTAATGGTGCTAAACTGACATCACTTTTGAACCTGTAAATAAAATTACAGGTGGTGTGGGCCTGTCTCAAGATGTTATACTCAGGATTTTACTTACGGGATCTGATTATTGTTAATATGTATGCAAATGTTAAAACACATTTCAAAGTTACAGCAAAGTGAGTTTACCTATGAGTTTAATCTCCTTGGGTATCCTAGAATATTCTTTTTTAAAGACATAAAGCACCTTCAGTTTGCCTTCTTGAGATTTTGCCTGTAAGTGATAGCACATGTTGCTGTGACTTTGGAAAATGAATGGGGTGGGGGGGACAGGATACAATTAGAAGCTTGAAATTTAAACCCCACATCCTCCTGATTGCCATCTAACCAGCCCCACCCAAGTTTGTCACCTGAGTCGTGGAAACTGGAAATTGACCAGTATCCATCTCATTTGTTTCCTCTGTGCTGAAGAACAGGATGTGCTCTTTGGCAGGAAAAGAATCCATCAGCTGGCCTGAGGGGATGGCCTGGTTCTCCATCTCACTTCTATCTCTCCTACCTGTGCTCACCAGAGCTCTGCTGGTGGCCAAGGGGTGAATTCATGCATCCTGTCAAGTGCAATTTTGACCATACTGAATTAAGAGATCTTAGTCCCTCCAGCAGAAACTCTGTCCTGCATGTACAGAGCAGAGCTGAGAATAAATGGCTAGCAGGAGAACGCAGACCAGGAAATCATAGGGTTTTTTTCCTCCTTAATTATCTGAGCATCTCAGAAGTCATTTGGGGTTCTGAATGAACTGGAAAGTTACTGCAATTGTTGCTCCACTTTGAATATGGGGACACATCACAGGGAGAAGCACTGTAAACACAAATTCACCCCGCAGGGACCCTGTATGTTTGCCCTTTCCATTTGTTTACCCTTTCCACAATTCTGACACTGTTTTTACTTAAGGCTAAAAGTTTAAAGATGGGTCATAGTGGCCCAGGGCTTCACAGGGACCACCACCAGCCATGAGTAGAAAGGAGGCTCCTCAGTCCAGGCAGGTTCACAAGTGTGATTTGGTGAATGGCGAATCCCTTGTCCAGTCTGTTTAGGCCTCTCAACCAGGCCCCAGATTTGGCAGTTTAATCAGAAAGAAACTTCTTTGAGTGTACAGAGCAGTGAAGTGAATGAAAATTCAGGTTTGACGGCTTGTGCTTTATGTCCCTCTGTGAGTCTGTGCATCCTTGCAGTTGTTCCAAAGACTGGGAAGAGAAAGAGGTTGTCCAGGTGAGCTGCATGGGTGGAAAGTAAACATTAAGTCACATATCAGTGGTACCCTAGGTATACATGACAGAGGGAAATGTGGATGGTCATTGTTCTGGGTCTCTTCTACCCATCCTGCTTCTGAAACAGTGCCTCTGGGATAAGTCCTTGCTGTTGGGATATGGAGCAAACCCTTTTAAGGTGGAACTGTTTTCACCTCTGGATCATGCCCTTATTTTGTGATTTATCATTGCAATTCTAAACTTTAAAGGAACCCCTAATTCATACCAGAGAGGATAAGGAAGAAAAGTACATTGTATAAGGTGTGGTTTGGCTTTTTTCTTCCAGCTGTAAAATTTGGCCGAATGTCGAAAAAGCAGAGAGACAGCTTGTACGCAGAAGTGCAGAAACACCGGATGCAGCAGCAGCAGCGAGACCACCAACAGCAGCCTGGGGAGGCCGAGCCGCTGACGCCCACCTACAACATCTCGGCCAACGGGCTGACCGAACTTCACGATGACCTCAGCAACTACATCGATGGGCACACCCCTGAGGGGAGCAAGGCAGACTCTGCTGTCAGCAGCTTCTACCTGGACATACAGCCTTCCCCGGACCAGTCAGGTCTTGATATCAATGGAATCAAACCAGAACCAATATGTGACTACACACCAGCATCAGGCTTCTTTCCCTACTGTTCTTTCACCAATGGGGAGACTTCCCCAACTGTGTCCATGGCAGAACTAGGTAATTGCTTCCATATTTTGATTGGGCTGAACTAGGGCTTTGAGAAGTCAACTGAGTATGTCTGATGTTCCTCTGTTGAGTTATGTTATTAAAGAATACAAGCAGAAAAGCAGTTCACCTTTATCATTTGACCCCCTTCATAATTCCACCCTGCCCCCTTAATTGTGACCCTCCACCGTTGTTTCCTCTCTACATCCTCTCAGAGATGAGACAATAGGAACTTAAAGCAGTCTGTAAATTCCACAGAAAATTGTAAGTTCAGGGAGTGGCCCCATTAACTTCATTATTTATTTAGCTATACACCAGGTATTGCTTTATACCTAAAGTCACAAAAAGGCCAGCCCAGAAGCCACCCAGGTCACAGACTTTATTTTTAGCCTATCCAGAGTCTTAATATTTTTGAATTAGTTGCTAAAATTTTAAACCAGGCAATTATACCTAAAGTTCAGATTTTCAGCTTCTTGGTGGGAGTGGTGGTCTAATTACACTGGGGCAGCATTTCTGAGTGACAGCAACTGGCTGGCACAAGGTAGGTGTTAACACCTTAAAGGGTCTCACCCCACTTCTCCCATTTGTATCTTCTGCCCACGCCTGTAGGCATTTAAGTTTTGCAGCCCTGGTATATCCTATAAATGGTAAATGGAGATTGATTCGTTGACATGCCAAAATACTTTGGTGATGGGTATTGGTGACAAAACTGATTTAGCTCATGGAAATCTCACTATGCAAGGGGGAAAAAAAAAACCACCTGTCAATTCTCTTAGGAGATGGGATCTAGAAATGTTGACAACACAAACAATGGAACACTTTGATTTCAAGGAATTTGTGTTACTACCCTGTGTAATGGTTAATTGATTTTTAATTACTTCTTTTTAGAGTAAGTTTGATAAGACCCTTTGCAGTTTTAGGATTTGATCTGCTCCTCCTAGTGGTTCCTCACTTAAGGTTATAATCCTTTGGGGTATTTCAGTTAGTTGCCGTGGAGATGGCTAAGTTGATGTGAGGAGAAAATGAAGACTTCAGATGGAAAAGAAACAGCAGGTTCTCACTTGAGGACAGAAGTCCTCAGTTCACAGAAATAACGGTTGTGTTCTTTAGATGGTTTCTCCACCTCTGTACCCCATAAAACATTTTAAGTGAAATTTATATTTCCAGTAAAATCTTTCTCCAAATAGAACAAATTGAATGTGCTTTACGGTTTTTACACAAGCCCCTCTTTATGGGTCTAAATTTAAATCCTCAAGAGCAGGGACATTTTAAGCTTGGTCTTTAACCACTGAACAGCATTAAAGGTATATTGCAGCTCTTTTGATTAACAGAGAAACCTCTGAACTAGAAGCCAAGCTGAGCAGAGGTAGGTTTGATTTTTTTTTTTCCTTGAACTAGAACAAAAACCTTCCATTTTTGTCATAAATCTTGGTTGGCTGAGCCTTAAGCAGAACTGTAATGAAAATCAAATTTTTAGAAGTGAATAAGGATTTGATTGAAAGCTGACATGATATCATGAAAAATGACCTGATTTACTTTAGGTTTGTTTCCACCTTATAAATACTAGTGAATCTATCCCATTTTCTTGTCAAATGTTCAACTCTGAAATAAGCCTACAGGGCTTAGCCAAAGTGTTGCCTTTGACTACAGCACTTTGGCTAGATGTGCACTGATACCTGAGTGAGGCAGAATTGGCCAAGTTGATTCCCCCGGTCCTCAGTTTCCCCACTTCCATTTCCTCTTCCATCATTTCACTTTCTAGGGTAGTCTAGGAGCCCTGTGTCCTCATACTTCTTTTATGTTCTCCTTAATTAGGGATTTTTCATGTGTATTGTGGCATTTTCCAGCTTGAATAAAATTAACTAATTTGTGGGATTAGTTCCAAACCCAACATTAAACAAGAATTTATCGGGGCCTCCCCGGTGGCACAGCGGTTGAGCGCTGGGTTGAAAGGCTGCCCGCAGCCTCTGCAGTGCCGGTTCGATCCCCAGCCGCTGGGTGAGGGTCCCACATGGCGCACAGACCTCTCCTGCTGCCCGCTGCTCCCCTCAGCAGTGTACTTCATCAGTCTGCCTGTTCTGCTCCCCGCTCTGGCTCTGTGAATTCTCTCACCCTCCCGCGCCTCTGACTGTACCCAGTGCTTGTATAAATAAATAAATAAATCTTTTAAAAAACCCAAGAATTTATCTGAAAAGAATATAATTGGGCTCAAATTTTCTATCCCAGTTACATGCACAAAACAGCTTGAGGAGCTCAATGTTGCATGAAAGCGGCCACAGACTTCTCTGCACCTTCTTCAAAGCTCTCTGTAGTCCCCCAGTATTTCCTTTGGGAATTCAAGTCATGCCATCTCTTTAACCAGGAGTCTTGGCTTCATTTCAGACTAGATTTTTCATCAGATTTTAAACAAATGAATCCAAGGTTACGATTGGAAAGTAAATTTTGTACATTAACATACTTTAAGTCCAATTCTATTTTCAAGAACAATATCTACAATCCATTACTATTAGTAAAAATATGCCTGCATCCCTAGCTAGCAAATTTTGCTCCCAATACACAGGTAGGACCTGGACTATACATTCCATATGAACAGTCTAATTTCATTTGAAAACAAAAAAGGTAACTACACTTGTTACCACAATCAATAACTAATGCGAATTGTGGGAAATTTCACTGATAGAAGTGGGCAAAAACAAGAAGTCAGCTTTATATAGATTGTGGTCCTAGCTTTGCTGTAGGTTATACCACCCAGTGTAAATCCTGTTACTTCTGCAAGCTGAAGTGGCTTTACTTCTAGAATAAAAAGATTTAGAACAGACTGGAGCCAAATTGTGTACGATTGAATCACTGGCCATTTCCAGCTGTGACATCTTGAAAAAGTTACTCATCCTTACTGTCACTCAGTTTGCTCATCTGTAAAATGGAGATAAATGAATACCTTCTTCCTTGGTTTGTTATGAAGACTGAGTGAGAAAATACATATGTTCAGAATATATATGTATCAATTCTATGGTCTGGCACATAAGTGTTAACTATTCTCATCAGTCTTAATGTTATCTGTAAACTGAGGGCAAGTCCAAAGTTCCTTCCCACTATGAAAATCTGTGATTAACTCAGAAGTCAGGACTTTCTGACCGAAGCCTCGAGACCTTGGCTGTATTGATGAAGTGATCATGGTTGAAGGGGCAAACTGATTTGACTATTACAAAGTAAGTTATCCACTGAGCTCCCACTAGCAGCCTGTTCTCCTAGTTTTGATCCCCAGATATTTCACTGTTCGAGCAAGTTTCTCCAAGAGACTACTACTTCTTAACTTTTACTCAGTCTGACCATATTCTTCTATGATGAAATGGAGATTTAAAAAGAGCAAAGTGTCTAAAATCATACACTTAACCAAATCAACTGAATGGAATCAAAGGGAGTTAATGAGAATGCAGCCACTGCCCTCTACTGGACCACAAGGTACATTGCATCACTTGTTTGCACTTGTAAAAACTGCTCCCAAATAGGTAGGAATGAGTGGAAAGAAATGTTAGGATAACGTGAAACAAGACACTGAACATATTAGCACATTCAGATGCATAATCTAGAAGAAGAAAACTGTGAGTCTCATCCTTCACCTCATAGGATCCCCCTCTTCCCTGTAAACATTCTTCATCACTTTTTTTTAATCTACAGAAATTGGTTTACCATTCAAACATTTATTTTCTTGTTTCTGACTCCCCATTATTCTTTTATTTACTCTCCTCTTCTATGCACAGGAGTCATTGACTTTAAGACACATCATTTACTTTGCTCTTTTTCAGTTCTCTCTATCAAATGTTTTTCTTCTCTTTGTCCTTTGTTTACTGATTCCCCAAACCAACATTCTCTCTCTTTTCCCTGACAGTTATCTTTTATCTTTCTTTTCTGATATAATCCAATTCTGTGCTTTATTGTCTGATGTTTTGAATCGTCTGTTCAGTGGGTCCCTAGATATTCAAAAAATCACAAAGTTCCTATAGAAAATTTGTTGGCATGTATTTCTTATAGTATTTTCAAATCCCCTTCCCTCCAGTATGATATGAATTCATCCTAATGTTCTTAGTTCTCACAGAAATAGGTGCTGTTTTTCTCATTTTACAAATGAGAGAAAAATGAAAAACAGAGACGTTAAGTAACTTACTTAAGATCACAGTTAGTCAAATAGCAGAGCTAAGAGTCAAACCAAGGCAGTCTGACTCCAGAGTTCATCTCTTAACCACTATACTAAATGCAGTGAAATAGTTGACCCTCAGTCATGCTGGTTTTGTTATTGTCAGGAAAAATCAAAGAGACACATAGGTGTCATTATAAAAGAGTATCATTTTCTAATTGTTCAAGAGTAATCCTCCCTAGGTCAATGTATGTGGTAGATGTGTTTTTATAAAAATCCTAAGAGGAGGCTTTGTCAATCATTTCCCACAGCCATCTAGGTCAATATTTGTTCTGGTGTAAAAGCACAGAACAAAGTCAAGATCAGGAGAGTCATTTGAAGTCATCAAACTTTATTGCAAATGTTGACTTTGTTTATTCTTCATCCTCATGTTCCAAAATACAAAATATCCCAGCTTGCTTATTTAAATGTATAAAGATAATTCAAATTAGTTCAGCATGTTGCTTTCAACTGGTGGCTTTGTAAATCACGTGCTAAATAGGGAAAACACTGGTCATGCAAAGAGGAACATGGCTTTTCATGCTTGTGATCTCCTATTTTCTCCATAGAACATCTTGCACAGAATATATCTAAATCACATCTGGAAACTTGCCAATACTTGAGAGAAGAGCTCCAGCAGATAACGTGGCAGACCTTTCTGCAGGAGGAGATTGAGAACTATCAAAACAAGGTATACTCTGAGGAATTTTACTGAGGATTGAGGCAATTTGGGGAAGGGTATTAGTAAAGGAGATTTGATCAAGAATACAGACAAACCAAAGAATGATGGTCTTTCATCAGCTATCACATTTCTGTTTAAAAAAAAAAATCTTTCTTTCAGAGCTGATCATGTATTTAGAGTTTTGTCATCTAACTGAGATGTTAGCATGCAAAATGTCAGCAATAGCAAATAAATTTCATTGTTGCCTATAACTACACACATATCTCCTTCCATTTATCAACAGGAGGCTAGATTAAGCAACTTCCATAAATAAATTGGGTTTTGTCCCAATATCACAATGGATGATTTCAAAATACAGAAGTTGACATAAAATAATCTCAGGCCTTTGTTTCCAAGGGGTCCATAATTCCAGTCTGATATGAGACTGACAAATAGTGGTGCCACTTGCCACTGTGTAACACTCTGCTCGACAAACCACCATCCTGGGAATTGAAAACATCAGGATTAGATGATGACTCTTGACTCCTAATTCAGTGTGTCCTCCACCCCAACATATCAATGAAAACAGTCTTAAACAAGACTGGGGGAACAAATGAGCAGCACAACAGATCTAGATTACCCTGTAAGTAAATTGGAGAGTGGCTCTATAAAAGGAATTAAACAGAACAGGTTGGTAAGGGCAACACATCTATCCACTTTTGAGGTAGCAGATAATGCTAGCAGCCCAAGTTACAAAAGAAGCAGGAAAGCAGTAAGAGGGCCTCCCTGGTGGCACAAGGGGTTAAGTCTCAGCACTACGAAGCTATTGGCAGCCACTGCAGCATGAGTTCAATCCCCACGCAGGGAGCTAACCCACGTGGCACAGCAGACTTCTCCTGTCTCGACTGCTGCTCCCCTCAGCAGTGTATTTCAGTAGATCTGCCTGTTCTGCTCCCCACTCTGTCTCTAGTGAATCCTCTTTCCCCCACACCTCTGGCCTATACCCAGCCCTTGTATGCATAAATAAAATAAATCTTTAAAAAAAAGAAAAAAGAAAGAAAGCAGTAAGAAGCAGCAAGGCATGTGGCATGAGATTCAAAGTCAGAAATGCTTGGATTTGAATCCCAGCTCCAGTGCTCACTAGCTTCGAGGCCTCTTTGAGGCCTCTGTGTCCATTTATGGAAAATGGAAAAAATGTTCTTGTGAAAATGAAATAAGACACAAGATGTCATAAAACACCTAGCTCACAGCAGGTATGCAATAAATGTATTTGACTTCCCTTCTCCCTATAATTGGTGCTAAATTCCCCAGGGCAAAATAATTGCCTGAAAGAAGAATCTACTTTGCTCTTCTCTGTGTCGTGCAAGGCTTTCCCACTCTTGTTTTCATCTTGTGCTGCATATATGCTCATCACACCTTCCCCTTGCCCCTTCACCACCGTAAAGGTAAGAGAGGACAGGAGATAGGAACAGGAAGCAATCATTATAACTCAAATAACTGGCCAGCTGTTTATTTTTTTTAATCTTCTAGCCTTTCTGAATCCATTTCCGAGCAGGGATTTTGCAAAATGGGAACAGGTTAGCTAGTGGTGCTGAGAATATGAGTAACCGCGTGTGTTAATGTGTTTCCCCTCTAACAGCAGCGGGAGGTGATGTGGCAATTGTGTGCCATCAAAATTACAGAAGCTATACAGTACGTGGTGGAGTTTGCCAAACGCATTGATGGATTTATGGAACTGTGTCAAAACGATCAAATTGTGCTTCTCAAAGCAGGTATGTGCTTTGCAAGTGAATTTTGAAATTTCTTCCTAACCTGCTTTCACCTGCTTGTTAAAGAACTGCTTGGTAAGGAAGGTGTCGGGAACAGTTCTTCTCCAATGATAATAGCTCTAGTTTTCCTTAGCAAAAACCAAGGTCTTTTTAAAGGTTTTTGAACTGTTTGCAGGAATCATTACCTCCATTTTGCTTCTCCTCTGGGTGAAAAGATTAATTTGAAGGTCACCTGTTATCCCCAATTTCACCGTCATCTGTGTTTTATTTCTACTCTCCAGGTCCTCTGAAGGAAGGTTACATTTTGTTGTAACCTTTGGAAGGTTACATTAAGTTGTTAGGTTAAAGGTTGTTGGTAGAACCCAGAGAGTGATCCCTGTTTCTTTTGTTTGTTTTAACAAAGAAGAATAAGTGTTTTCCTAGCAACTCTGAGACAGTATATTATGAGTCAAAAGCATGCTAGGAGAAGCGATTTGTAGATCAGTCCCTTCTTCAATAAAGCAGTCCTTAACTTCAGCACAGTTTTAATTGTACTGGTGAACTTTGCCCTTTGGGATGGAAAGCTGATATGATTGACAGCCGAGGAACTAAACTGCAAAGAACACCCACTGAGCTGATGCAGAAAGGGGTCTCTGCATTAGCGCCTTCCAAATAAACTCTCTAAGATGGAATAATCCAAACCGTTTCTGCCTCTGCGTAGGTTCTCTAGAGGTGGTATTTATCAGAATGTGCCGTGCCTTTGACTCCCAGAGCAACACCGTGTACTTTGATGGGAAATATGCGAGCCCCGATGTCTTCAAATCCTTAGGTAAGAGGCATGCTGGGAGCTTTGTCTTTAAACCGGGCTAGAGGAAAAGATGGGAGTTGGGCGAAAGCTCTCATTGAACAAAGTGGACACAGTGGTTATTTGGAAACAAAAAACTAAAGGCTTTTATAACTTTTGTTTTATAGTTAGTCACTATAGAAAATTCAAATAGCTCAAATGCCTTTTGTCTGTATTACACATCAAGGTTAACAAGTTGGTTATCTAGTTGGTAATCAAAGAGATTTATATTATAAATCCTTCCCATTGCCTTCCAGATTTTAAGAACCAGATTTGCAGGGGACATATTATTCATATAAAGTAAAGAATATGATTTGATACATGAAATCAAGCAAAGAGCTATAAGTCTGCCGAGCCGTACTCCTGGAATGACTGCCGTTAATGAGAATTAATTGCAGATGTCAAAGAAATAAATTATAACTAAGCAAAACTCTGCCATAAACTTTAAAAATAAATTACTTTGGATTTCTATAATTTAAAAAAAAGGGATATAGTCTTTAAGAAGAATGGGATGGTATTCAAGATATGTAAGTGATTTTTCAAACAGTTAAATGACAGAAGACATGTATGTCAGTTTAATATAACCCATTGCCATTTAAATATACATTATAACATGCAAGTCTGAAAGAATAGACATCAAACAAATAGTCATTTGGGGAACAGATTGTTATTTTTATAGGACTCACATTCCTTGTGTGCAGTTTTGTAACTAATACACCCAAATGTAGCATTTGTTAGCATTTTTAAAGGTGTTTGAGGTCAAATAGAGCACAAACCAAAAATGAGTGAATTTAACACTTCAGTTAGGTTGCAGCTGTTAGATTTTATTGGTTAATAGTGGGGCTCTAAGTCAGGTAGCCTGGCTTTGAAACTCAGCTGGTATTTTCTATCTGTGTTACCTATGTATATGACTTTTCTGTTCTGGGGGTGTGTTGAGACAGGAACTTTGTGAACTCAGAGGGGTGATATGATGATGTTGTTGATGATAATACCTCCTTAATAGAGCTATTATGAAATAGTTAGAAATCTCTTAGAGTAGTATTTAAGTTACTCACTACACAACGCAAGTTCTCTGATTATTTTGACTGATGATGGTAGGGGTTGATGGTGGTATTGACTAACCAGATTTTCCTTTAAAATTTCAAGCTTTTACATTAGAATGTTAATTACTATCCTGTCTGATCTTCAATTACTAGATTCACCTTCTTCCATATATATCACCTAGGATAATAACCAAAATCCTAAACTGTCTTTATTTTCATTTTGGCAGGTTGTGAAGACTTCATTAGCTTTGTCTTTGAATTTGGAAAAAGTTTATGTTCTATGCACCTGACTGAAGATGAAATTGCATTATTTTCTGCATTTGTACTGATGTCAGCAGGTAGGCGAACCCCCCCCAAAAAACCATTTAATTTAATGAAAAAAATCATTTAATGAAAACCATTTAGTTTTCATAGTGTCCAGGTGAAGATTTTTAAGAGGTTCATAACTTTTAATGGGTATAGAATATTCCGGATGTTACCAAGAGAAGCTGTCACCCTTGTTAAATTTAAATTTTTCAAATGACAACCCCCATACATACCCCTTCTGGAACACCTCATGTTGTTGTTATAATAAAATCTTAAGAATGGAGAGTGAATATAACTCAGTGCGGAGTTAGCCTCCTGATTCCAAGAGAAAAGTTATAGTAGAGTAGGGTTGCCGTTCTTAACTCCAGTCACCAAGATAACGTGGTTTTTAAAATATACTACTTGGGGGCCTCCCTGGTGGCGCAAGGGGTTAAGCGTCAGCACTCTGAAGCAATCTGCAGCTACCGCAGCATTAGTTGGATCCCCAGCCAGGGAGGTGACCCACATGGCACAGCAGACCTTCTCCTGTCTTGCCCGCTGCTCCCCTCAGCAGTGTATTTCAGTAGATCTGCCTGTTCCATTCCCTACTCTGTCTTTGGTGAATCCTCTCACCCCTGCACCTCTGGTCTGCACCCCCAGTTCTTGTATGCATAAATAAATTAATGTTTAAAAATAATAATAAGGGCCTCCCCGGTGGCGCAGCGGTTGAGCACTGGGTTGCGAAGCTGCCCGCAGCCTCTGCGGCGCCAGTTCGATCCCCAGCTGCTCCCCGGCCACCGGAGGAGGGTCCCACATGGCGCGCAGACCTCTCCTGCCGCCCGCTGCTCCCCTCAGCAGTGTACTTTGGTCCTTCTGCCTGCTCTGCTCCCTGCTCTGGCTCTGGTGAATTCTCTCACCCTCCCGCGCTTCGGACTGTACCCAGTGTATGTATAAACAAACAAACAAACAAACAAACAAATAAATAAATAAAACATGCCTCTATAAAAAAATTAATAATAATAATAAAATAAAACATCCTACTTTTTCTTAAAATCCACTTGGATGTCATTCTCAAGTTTATTTGAATTTGATCCATGTTTTCAACCAATACTGCCTTTAGGGGATCATTAGCTTTGTAAATTTACTGTCTTCCATTTGGAATTGTTACACAAAAAACTTTATCCTAAATTACCAACCCTTATTTTTTTTAATTCTATTGACAGTTCCACTTACCTTGGATTATAAGATTATTTTTCAATTTGCTAGAAAGACTGGCAGAAATGGAACAAGCCTTTCTTCCAGAAATTTAATTGTCTAAAAACTGGAAGGGCCATGGTGGTTTTATTTGCATGCATACTAGTGTGGCCTTAGATTTAATGGGTATCATTCTGGAATGGGAATAATCCTCCCTTCCTTTAAGTATCAGTACAAATAAAAAGGTTTAACGCTGTTGTATAACCATCCTAGATCAGTTTTCTACTCCTTAAGGAGCAAATTTTGAAGGAGGAATGCTAGCCTTTTAGTCTCTAAATATGCATTATGTATAATGATCTGTGTCTAAAAGTCAGGAGGAATGGGGGTGTTCTGAAACCATGTGGGAAGAATGCTAAGGAGTATCATGTTTCATATTTAGATCGCTCGTGGCTGCAGGAGAAGGTAAAGATTGAAAAACTGCAACAGAAAATTCAGCTAGCTCTTCAACATGTCCTACAGAAGAATCACCGCGAAGATGGAATACTAACAAAGGTGAGAGCCAACGGTTTTCATCTTGAACTGTCCCAGTTGCCAGTTACTCTTACAAGTCATTTACCAGCACCCCAAAGTAATAAGCAATAGGCTACTGAAAAGAAAAAATACCTCTATTTTAAAAAATTCCACTTGGCCAAAAATCAAGTTGAATTCTGTTTATCTGGTTATAAAGTACCCTGCAATAATAGGGCACCACATATTTTTAAGCATTAATACACTCTGAAAATACTCTATTCCATCAAAATTGAGCATAAAACAGAGGTAATGTTCTGTGTTCGGTGTTGATATAAATTAGAAGAGGACAAAAAAAGAAGACAAAAACTTGCCTCTGGGAGGGAGGGAAAAATATGAGAAAAAAAATCTTTGAATTTAAGAGGAAAATGTTATGCAGTACTAAAACAATCAGGATAACTGTACGTTCTAATAATAGTTCTATTTCCATTAAATTCATTAATAATCAACAGCAAATGACTTTTGCATTTTCTTCATCGATTTCCCGTTTTATTACCCTGTACTCAAAGCATAAGGTTTCATTTTTGCTAATTATTATCTTTCACAATAAAAGTACAATTAGGATGTCAACTTAAAATATGTTAATATCCTTCAGTGCTAGTGCTAATACTAATTATTTGCTCTTATAAATATCAACCATATTCTTTCGGAGAGTATTTTATATGTCATTATTCAAGAAGATAATTTGAAAGGTTTGTTGCGGGGGGTGGGGGAGTTCCTGTTTGTTTGTTTTTTCTCCCAATAGCTAAACTAGGTCATAAAGAAGAAATTTGAGGCTGTTTGCTATTTGGCTTTTGATTTTGCACCTGTTAAAAGAGAACTTGAGGCAGGAATGGGAAATAGAAGGAAGAGCTCTCAGGTGCTTTACTTTCTTCATTTTTCTTACCCATATGCCAGGGAACTGTCAGGTTCTTTTATTATAGAGAGAACCTAACACTCAGACAAAGCTTATGATCTGATGACATCATTACTTAGAGAGGATTTCAGATGGTCCCACTTATAATAGTTCAACTTAGGATTTTTTTTTTTTTGATTTTGTGACGGTTGAAAAAAGTGCTTTGCATTAAGTAGAAACTGTACTTCCCCCTCCTTTGAATTTTGACCTTTTGCCTGGTTAGTGATATGTGGTCTTACACCCACATGGTGCTGGGCAGGGCAGTGAGCCAACTCCCAGTTAACCTTGTGGCCGTAAGGGGAGATGACATTCAATGTGCTGTTGCCATGTATTTTTGCCTATTATGTTTTGTGTTTTCGCATCCCACTGTGTCCACAAAACTCCAGTCTGTGCCTGAGATCTTGAATCCTTAGTGGAGAATGTAGGCTGCATTAGATGACTCTGTTCAACTTTAGGCTAATATAAGTGTCCCGAGCATGTTTATGGTAGGCTAAGCCTAAGCTCTGTTGGAGGACAAGTACTAGATGCATTTTTGACTTTCAGCTTATGAGGACAGGCTTATCAATAAGGACTTATACCCGTGTCAAGGATTGAACTAAGTGTTTTGCACTTGTATAGTGTTTTAAAGTTTAAAAAGCATTTTTGCCAGTATGTTAACCTCAGTTGTACCAAATGCATCAAATGTGTTATCAAAGTTCTCAAATTCATCCTCAACTAGTCAGTGCTGCGACTCTATCCGGGTCTCTAACTAGTCTTTTTTTTTTTTAAGTCAAGATTCTTTTGCTTTGTTTTAGGCAAAGCTCTTTCTTGAGGAGAAACTTGTCACTGAAGTTGGCTAGTAGTTGCTCTGCATAAAATATGTGAGGGATGCCATCGTCTCTGATTGCAGGATGTTACCTGCTGGTGACTGTGCCCCTCGCTGTCTTTGTCGCCACAGCTCTTCCTTTGCCCAGCACGCAGAAGGCAGGGCTTGGCAGGGTAGAGCAGGAAGCATATTGGATGAGAGGAGGAGTGATTTGGGTTCCTGTTTTGACTCTGTCACTTTTGCTTGTAAACATTTCACTTACAAACATCATTTTGGGTCATTAAGTTATTTGTCTTCAAAATCATATCTAATCTGTACGTGGTATTCTCTGGTGTAACTGTACCATCATTTACTTGTACCCGCCCTTTATCACTGGACATTTAAGTTGCTTCAAGTGTGTTTCATTCACCTTTATAAACAAAGCCATAAAGATCATCCTGATGCCCTGACTTTTGATTCTTGTGTCTGTTCTCTCCTGACTTTGTGTCCTTTCTTCCACTTACAGTTAATATGCAAGGTGTCTACATTAAGAGCCTTATGTGGACGACATACAGAAAAGCTAATGGCATTTAAAGCAATATACCCAGACATTGTGCGACTTCATTTTCCTCCATTATACAAGGAGTTGTTCACTTCAGAATTTGAGCCAGCAATGCAAATTGATGGGTAAATGTATCACCTAAGCACTTCTAGAATGTCTGAAGTACAAACATGAAAAACAACAACAAAAAAAATTAACTGAGACACTTTATATGGCCCTGCACAGACCTGGAGCGCCAACACACTGCACATCTTTTGGTGATGGGGTCAGGCAAAGGAGGGGAAACAATGAAAACAAATAAAAGTTGAACTTGTTTTTCTCATGCATATGATTTCCATTATGCCTACAGATATGGACCCTTTTTCTGTCTCAACTTCTTGATCGTTGACCTCTGTTTACAGCAGAAGGAGGGTACTAAAGAGAATTTCCTTTTCTTGTAGCTCACTGCCCACAGACTTTCTACAGAGTCACCAACCTGTCGGTAACAACAGAGCCCAGCAATAATCGGTGATCGGTGTGCATAGCGGAGATTGCAGCATTACTTTGCACAACTTGCTCTTTGTTTCATGAAGGAAGTTTTTATTTTTTCACCGATTATTGCCAGTCAGCAGGATGGCATGAAAAGGGTCCATAGCACTAGCAACAATAGCATTATAATATATTACAGGGTAAATGGGCATGAAGACTATATATAGCTAAAAGAGATATTGTTTATATATTGTTTTAATTAATATAAAATGTAGTTACTGGTGTAGCTTTTCCTGTTGAATTGATAAGGCACTTTCATTTTGCACCTTTTTCTTTAAATTAAATGCTAGCGTGTTCACTGTCGTGTCGCATGTGCACCAGAAACACAAGTTTAACTGAGAAGGCTTGGAAGGTACGTCGGGAGGTATTTATGCTGCTGTTTACAAAATTACTTTTAAAAGTCTGGCTGGTCATATCTAGAAATCACAATGTTGGATTTTTTCTTTTTTACATGTGAATTGGGAATTAGACACAGAACTCTCCCTGAATTATACTTTGCTTTTGGGTACATTTAAGGATAGATGTGTTTATGCTTCATACAAAGTTGAATGGTCGATTGGTGCTGTGGACTTAAACCATGATGCACATTTTGCTTTTTAAGTTTTTCAAAATGCCACCTCTTGGGGGCAGGGCCAGGAGGCTCTTTTGACACAATTCAATAGTTTTATGGACTCAGTCTCAACTTGGAAATTCTTACGCTTTCAGAACAAATCTGCAACCAGGATACTTATTGGAATCTAGCTCTTATTTTAAGAAGGACCCAAAGATTATTTCTGGAGCAAACGCACACTCCCTGTGTGAGGACATGTAACATTTACTGTGTTGAATGTTTATATTCTTGGTATAATCTAGGAACCCTAAGAGTTTATGTCAGAGTTAACTAGTTTTGTGCCAGCTGTCTCTTCATCCTATAATTGCTCTCCATAATCCATAGGCAATGGATAGGAGGGTGAGGAAGGCATATGACGTTGAACCATTTTTTCTTATTTAAATATTAAATATTTTAAGTCTCTAAAGTGAAGCTGATGCTAGTTGCAAACATTTACTCTTGTATTTATCTTCACTAGAAAACTGTGGACTGTAATTTATTTTATTAATATTTAGAAGAATATTTGGCTTTTGTATTCAGGTGAGAGATACAGTTGTTTTTGTTTAATTTTGTGTTTTGTTTTGTTTTGTTTAAATAATTCGCAATGGGGAAATGGAGAAGGAAGAGTCTGAGGTACAAATGTGCGTATTTTAAAAATAAGTGACCTTTGGGGATGTGGGCATTTAGGTGACAGTTCTAGTCACACACGGAATGGGAGTCAAACTTCTGGTCTGACTATAAATAAATAGAAATAAAATCACATTTATCCAGAAAAGGGAACATCTTAACACAGGGTGAAAGTGAGAGTTCCCAAGCAGCCCTTTGCAGAGGAGAAAGTGTCTCCTCTCCCATGGGGTTCCTCCTGAATCTTCCCCAGAAATCACAGCTCCTTGATGTCTTGCCCAATCACGTGATCACGTGAGGGCAGCCTGAAGCCCTTCACTGTTTTTAACTCCACTGACCTTCTGACTCGTTTCCTGAGGGACTTGGAATAGGGGAAGGAATGATTCACACAGAAGTGTGTATGAAGCCTAAATAACATCTAAGCAATTTTTTTTCTCAAATATATAGTAAAGGTTTAACCATAAATAGAAGACGAGAGTAATATTTACTTAAATTTCTTACAAGAATATAAAACTTTATGTGTTTATTATATAGAGAGGTTAACTATCAGCATATAGTATTTATATTTGGGCAAGAAGGGTTAAATCAAAATTTTAATTTAAATAAGCATAGTTCCTTTAAGATCAATAGTATTTATACTCTGGAAAGAGTACAAAGCTTAGTTCAGTTATTTATTCGTCCATTTTCCCCCTATTGTTTCTCCTTTAGGGGAAATGGTGTGTTTTTATTTTGGTTTTCTTTTGTGGTTTTTGGGGAATTTTTTGTCATTCTGATTCACTAAATTTGGGATGGTTTTATTAAAGTATATTAACTTGTTTTTAACCAAAGCTTTCTGAATATGACCAGCCTCAGGTGCTAGAGCATTAAAGAGCAACTAAACCTAATTCCAGTGTCCATTTGTGAAATAAGAGCTAATTGCACTTCTCTAAGGGTGAGAGAGAATACAATGTTGAACTTAAAAGAAATTCCTTTTACCAGAAAGGATTTTGGATATACCATATGCAAAAAGAAACAAACAAACAAAAAATGCTCTAATCTCAGTTATAGTCACAATGTGGTGACAATGCTTTTAGAGTAAACCAAGATACATTGACTGATGCTGCTACGAGGTCTTTTTGAAAGAAAAGCAGGGTTGGACTTTAAGAGCAAAGTACATCGACAGTGTAGGAAAAGAATAGTAGTGGCGTGCTCTGTGAAATGATGGGATAGCCATCATTGGGATTGAAGTCGGGATCTGAAGTTAAACAATAAATCCAGTCGAAAACAATATGGATTCTAGAAAATGACGTGAAAAACCTTGCATTTTTATTTTCTTCCTTATTATAGAAACACCTGTGTGCCAGAACAATTATTCTCAATAGTTCTTTAATGTTTCCTAAACTTAAATGACCAATAGTCTTTTAAAGATTGGAATCACATCATGGTAATCCTGGCTGCTGTAATGCCTTTTATACAATTTTTTTACATAGGGTAAATAAGGCTTTTGTACAAAGGAATGCTTTCAGTTACAAATGGTGTCCAAATGGTTGCATTATCTTGTGAAGAAACTGGCCTTGGTCACAATGAAAACAAAAGTGCAGATGGAAGTGGGTTTTTGGGACAGTTTGCAAATTGTGTTAAAGCTATGGATTTTTTTTTAACTGTTCAGCATCATAATTTGAGTTAAAGCGATGGATTTTTTTTTTAAAGTCTTCAGCACCCTAAATCACCCTTCCTAACTTAAGGAAAACATGAATTAAGACACTGCTTCTAAGTTTGGTTGTTCTTTATAGTGGGAATGCCCAGATCTCTGTGAGCATATGGGGGTGGGCTGAGGGTCAGGTAAAGAGGGAGCGTGCTGGTGTGTGAGAAAGATAGTGTGTGAGTGTTTGTGTGTGTGTGTGTGTGTGTGTGTGTGTGAGAGAGAGAGAGAGAGAGAGAGAGAGGGAAGGATTTGTGTGTGTGACGTGCGTGTGTTGAACCGCTTCTAGGCTACTAAGTGTCAATGGAAAAGAAAATGTATTCAAAATACTTAAATCAAAACTAGAAGATGGAAAAAAAAAAGATTTATTCTATACAAAGCCTTGTCTGGACCACTTTAGAGAGACTTCTATTTTTTTAACCCTTCTATAAATATTTGATGGCACTTGAAATATTCCTGCAATAAAATGTGATTTGTGTAAAGAAAAAAAAAAAAGATTTTGTAATGTGAAACAAAGAAAGAAAGTAATGTAATTTTCTAAAAAAAAAAATACAAACAAACAAACTTTGTATTATTTTCTTGATGGAATTTGTCTATCTGTCTTTGGAAAACTTTTTATTTCATTGATTGTGCCATAGTAGAAATATATGTTTTTAGTTTTAGACTAGGGTATAGCTGTTTGTGTTCCGACATTCCAAAATGCAAAACAACCTAGTAGAATCTTTATTGAAAAGGTTTAAGTAGGATGTAAGCTTCTCTCATTGTTGCTTTTTTGCACATGTTCTTCATTCCTCTCTAGTGCAATATGTACATAGAGCACTTGCGGGTGTACCTTGATCCCTCAGGGAAAAATACATATTTGTACAGGTTTTTGTTTTGTTTGTTTGGTTTTTTTTTTTTGCCTTTTGTTTTTGGCTAAGGAATGTCGATTGAATCACTTGTTATTGTTGAGGGGCAGCCAGATAATAATCCTAAAGCCACTGTTTCAAACATTGATTGTTTAAATCATGTGTCCTTTCAGTGCTATTATTTTAAGACAATAATAATAAAAAATTATTTTCTGACAGTTCTTTGTGCTGATTGGTGAAAAAAAAGGGTAAATAAGCACCTTATGATTGACTTACTGTGAATGACAATCCATCTTGATATCAACAATAGAAGCCCTATCATTTTGAAGTTGGGGTTGAGTCAGAAACAATGCGCTCAGGGATCTTCTAAAACTCTCAAAACAGGGTGGCCAGTACTACTGGGAAAAATTGTGTTTTTTATTAATAATAATGATAATAATACTATCCCTCCTAGGCACAAGTGAACTGTGTAGATCTGTGTGTGTGCGTAAACTCTTCGCTATCATCTCATTTTCTTAAGTTCAAAACTGCAGTGTTCTTCAGTCTTGTAGGCTTACAGGTGTGGACTCGCTTTCAAAACAGTGCAGTTATGCCAGTATGTTCAAAAGATAAATGAATAGGCAATACAATAAAGAGCATCATTCAAAGTGCAGGCTTACATACTCCCTTTACCACTTCTCTAATTAAATTATTCACGATAAACATATTCATGCCATTATATTTAAAAACTATGCCATAATATGTAGTCTACATATTATGGATAAAAGTTTTTTAAAAAATGGTGAGACAAGAGCCCTGCCCCTCCGTGCAGGGAGAGAGGTCAAATGAAAAATGGTTTTTTAATGCCAACAAAAAACTCATTTTCACTGTGTTATCCTCTGGAAGCAAACCAAAAAATCCCTTAGTGGAATATTTTTTTCTACTTCCACAGTTGTAGTTGATGTCTGTTGGATTAATGCAAGAGCTATTGTCTTAAGATTGACAAAACCCACTTGTGTAGCAGCAATGTGAGTCAGCTTTTAGGGTTATTTATATTTTTGAAATTTACAATTTTTAAATAGTTCCCTGTTTCCATGCATTATTTTCTGTAAAGTCAGTGAATCTCACAGTAATTGTTGGCTTTCATTTTTCCACACCTGGAACACACATTCAGAAGAAATTTTATTTATTTTCTTATTGCTGTAGAAATCCGTAATTTGGGAAAACTTTCAGTTTCTATTAGATGAAAAAGAAACCTGTAACTTGTTGTTTTTAATAATAAGGACTATGGAAAATGGCAGAAATAGCTCTCTTTCCTTCTCCTCTTCCTCCTCCCCCTCCTCTCTGTCCACTCACAACAAAGAAGTTATTGACATTTTTACATATTATATGTGATGCCACTTCTTTCTTATAAAGACATGACATAGAACCTTATAAATACCTTATAGATCAGATTATATATCTAGAAATGCAATTGCAACAGTAAATCTCCATCTGTTACTTACAGTCTGTGATGCAAGTTTTCGGTCTCTACCTAAACACTATTACTATTAAAGAGAGTCCATCAGATTTTTGTTTATTTTAAGATATGAGAAGGCTGATAATCAGTGTCTGAGTCTGTTTGCTTGTTTGTGTAAGAACAATTTTGTCAGCCTCTCAGAACAATTTCAGAAATAATCCAGAAGCCTGGTTTCATGGCAAGAAAACATTATAGGTGGGGGGATCTCTGTTAACCAGACCTTCAGAACTTAGAGCAATAAATACATTCATTCATTCATTTATATGTAAATGAATGTTCAACCCAATAGAAATGTCTTTTCAGTGATGCAAAATAAAGTGGAGTCTTATTAAAAAAGTGAATGTAAATATTTTAAATAGATGCCTAGATAAGCCGTGTTTGCTGTTTACATTTAGTGTGTTTGCCACAATAGCACTATCATACTTTTTCTTTTTTCCTTCTAAGAAGTAATGAATGGTAGCTCACTGTTAGCTTGGACATGCTGTACATGTCATTATGTTGTTGTCTAAGAGCAACTGAACCCTCCGGTGTGTGATTCCTTTCTCATTATTTTAATGTGGATGAATATTATTTCTAGGAACTTGGTTATCATTGAACAGATTGCATATGTAAATGCAGATACTTCTTGAGCAATATAGTGAATATGATTTCACACACAAAAAATCTGTATGTACTGTACACATCTTCATGAATCCAAAATTCTCATTTTATCCACAGTGGTTTGAAATCTCATATAAAACAGTGGTAAATTTTTAAACATTAGGACATTAGCTGGCTGCTTCTTTAAATGTACCTGTATTGTCTGCCTGCTCCCTTTTGTGGAGATGTGTTTTTGTATTGGATGTTTGGGCCAATGGGAGGCTTCAAGCTACAACATATTTTCCCAGTTTAAATATATTTAACATATGACAAACCCCAGACAAGGCTTTTAATATGTATAAAGAACTGCAGTGTTAGGTGGTTTATTTGCAAACCGTTTTCAATGTTGTCCATTTTTATGGCACCTTTAACAATATTCTTGTTTCCAAAGTACAAAAAAAATAGGTTAAATAATCTAGCCATAACTGAATGTCAAGCAATAAAACAAATGACTTTTGCGCATAGACTTAAAAAAATACAAATTTTAGACATCTGCATGTAAATGCAATCTCTTGTTTACTGCTTTCTTCAACTTGAGCAATCAATTCCTTATTTACTATTAACTTAAGAACTTGTAATGGCCTGTAAACATTTTCTCTCTTACTCTTCTTTCAAATTTACCTTCGTCCCTGCTTTTGAGTCATAATATTAAATGTTGTTCTGCACATCTCTATACAGTTAACTTTTTGGCTTTCATTCTGTATAGATAAGAAAATGTTATATTATAAACAGCCTACTCAGTGCAAATATTTATCTGTTTATCAAATCCACAATATGCTGTATAATACCAGTTTTACTATATAATCTATTTTAGACATAGCTGTTTAGAACTAGAGTGTGCTATTTTTGTGTTTTTCTGATGTGTGGTGCTAGATAAGTTACTTTTGTGAACAAAAAAAAAAATCCCTTTTATTCCTAGACAATACCACCTTTGGGTCTTGTTAATTTCACTGAGTATAACTATATATTTGTATATATATACATATATATATATATATATATATATATATATCTACCTGAACCCAACTGGCAGCTGTATCAGAGTGCTGGATTTGGGACATGCTTTTCTCTTTAAATACATAATATCATTATATAAATTATTCTAGAGTGTATTTAATTAGGATAAAATTACTTCCTTAGTATGGATATTTGACATCTATAGGGTGAATTTGTTTATCAATATGAATATACAAAAATGTGTTAGCATTTACTTATGTTTGCTATTTGGCTTTATACCACATCTCCTAAGCTGAAAAATAATTTCCAGGCCTTCAAGATCCTAAGGAAACACTCTAGTTTAATGGAGTAAATCTTTCTATTCTTACTAAGGAATGATACTATTGGCACCTGACAAGAGTTGTATAATTAGCTCCTATTATAGAAAATAGTATTTTCTATAAAATAACCTTGCTGGCTTGATGGCAGAATAAACCTTTCCCCTCCTTTCTGAGCCCTGAAACGGATGAGCTGCCAACTGTCATGGCAGACCGTGGTCATAAAGCAAATTCGACAGGAGAATTCCTGTTTCAATACAGCTTCAACCAGTTCCATGAACTGAGTGAAGGTCCTTCATTTTAAAAGTATTTTAATAGTTAAACTCTTTCACCTATTATCCCAAGACTTATTGGCATTAGAAATAAAAGTATATCAAATATCTAACTAAGGATGTAGTTAACCTTATTAAATATTGATTAGAATTGTTCTGTAATATTACTGAATTTGTAAGATCTTTAGCAAAGATTTTTGAGCAATTTATAAATATAGAGCAAATGTTTCTGTTTACTGCACTTTTTGTAATTGAAGGTGATAAATTTTTAAGCCATGGTTATTGGCTTCCATGCACTGCACATTTACCCACAATTCTAGACATTTTCCATTTTTATGGAAGAGTTGCTATTACCTTAATTATAAATGCAATCATGTGGTTAATGAGAGCTTATGCTAATAGTTAAACTTTTAAAGTGAATTGGCTACAGTTTAGGGAGAAATCTCTTTTAACACAAATCACATCATTCCTTGTTAAGTTGCTTAGAAAGGGACTGAACCATTTTTTTTAAGCACCCTTTAATCTCCTAAACTTCCTGAGGGTAGAGATTGTTATCTCTTTGCATCTGCACAATGGCCAGCCATGTCAGCATTTAATAATTGTTTAATGGCAAGTGTGCTCCAATTGAAACTTTTTTCCCTGGGTTGTTTTGGTAAATTTATAGAGTATGCCAAGCCTGATGGTTAACACTTTGTTTTCAACCAAATGTTAAAGCCACATTTAAAAAGACCACATGAAATGCTGATTCTAATTGTGTGTAGGTCTTTAGGATTAAGCACACAAATTTCACAAAACTCTGTGAGTAACAAACTCAGCCTTCTGTAAATATACATGCAAGTTTGGAAATAGTAATACTGTACCTATAAATATATGCTGTCTGTTTTGTGTACAGTATGTAAAAACTCCTTTTCTGCCACACTAAAAATGCAAGCCATTTATGGGAATCCTAAAAATAATATTGTACTAAAACTTTGCTAATGATCTTTATTAGAGGATCATCCAACTTTTCACTTACATTGGGTTTTCTTTTCAATTCACTTTACAGTAGTCTGCTTATTTCCAGTTGTTTGTTATTTTACTGAGTCCTGAATTTAAAAAAAAAATATTTTGATTCATTTTGTAAATACAAGCTGTAAAAAAAGAGAGAGATTTAATGTTGTCTTTTAAATACTCCAATTTTCATTCTAATATGAATGTTGTTATATTGTACTTAGAAACTGTACCTTTAATATTACATTACCTTTATTAAAAGTGCATTGAACACATCAATTTTAGATGTGCTTTATGTACTATTATCCTATAATAAAACTTCAGCTTCTAATGGAACACTTGCCTTGTTTTTCTTTTTTCTGTTATTGAGTACATTGAACACATAGTTTGCTAACTTACCTCTTGTCTCCAGAGAACGATGTAGTGACCCTGCTGCTCAGTGTGGTTCTCAGACCAGAAGTACTGACATTACCTGCTGCCTTGCCCTTACCAGAAATGTAAAATCCCAGGCACCACCCAGACCTACTAAATCAGAATATGCATTTTTATAAGATCCTAGAGTAACTGGTTTGCAATTAAATGTTTGAAAAGCACTGGCTTATAGTATCGTACTTTAAAAAACATTTTCATTTTGCAGGGCGGAAACGTATACAAGCGTTAAGTTACCCTTCTGATCAAAAGAAGGCAAAGAAAGCAATTTGAATTAGTGAGATAACATCTGTTGATTGATACCAGGATTCTGAGGCTGCTTTTCGTCTCCAAAAAGGGTGCCATGGCTGATCAGTGATATCTGCTCTGAGTTAGAAGGTAGAAACCCTGAATGCACACTAGACTTCTTCATCTTTGCTTTTTTATCATTAAAATGGAATATCAGAAATGATGCCAAAGACTTTAAAAATCCAACTTTACCTGGGTTATGATTGCACACCCCACTTCAAGCTTTTATCTTGGGTAGGTTATATTAGGAATGGACTAATAAATTTAACATCAGGTAAGAATCACAATATTTTAATGCTGTAAAACTATTTTCAATGTAATCTCAAGGGCTTTCAAATCATAAGATATTCTAAAGTCAGAATAAAAGCAACTGACTTGGCACTTAGCTCCGCACACATACTGTCAAACCTAGGCATCCCCTGCACTCAGTAAAATAAATAATTGAATGCTAAAAGTTGCTGCCTATCATAACCCCTAATCCTGTTTCTATTTTCAGGGAAAAGAAAGTATCAGGCTGTGCATGTGAAATTGTCCAGTTCGACATAACCATAAATATTCACCTTCTGGTATATTGGGAAATTGAGTCATTAGAAATAAAATGGAGTTCAAAATACTAAATCTGTCACCTGCCAGACTTTGACCAAATCCATGTACAAATCCTTTCTATAGAAATAGTGGTTTACACTGACCACTCCATTTTGGGTTCGCTTATTCCACTTTAAGAAGAATACTTAAGTGGGAGTATTAGGAGGATCTAGCCTCTTAGACTTAAACTTTTTTTTTTAAGATTTATCTATTCACACACACACAAGAGTTGGGGCACAGGCCAGAGGTGTGAGGGGCAAAAGGATTCACCAGAGACAGAGTGGGGAACAGAACAGACAGATCTACTGAAATAAGCTGCTGAGGGGAGCAGCGGGAGAGCCAGGAGAGGTCTGCTCCACCAGGTGGGCCGCTCCCCAGAGGGCCAGGGATCCAACGCATGCTGCAGGCTGTGAAGCTGAGCCACCAGGAGGCCCTAGACTTCAACTTCTTGTGTGCGTTTGGATCAAGTGAGCTAGTGCAGAACATGCTTCTGCTTCTCATCATAGATCTGTGAAAAGACGAAGCTATGTTCATATGCTGGGGAGGGTTGATTTGCTAGACACAGCTCAGCACCTTGGTTTCCCCTTTTGAGCAAGAAACTGAAGATGTGGGCCAGTGGTGCTCAAAACCATGATCCAAATGAAGCCATGAATGGTGGGTAAGTCACCAACAACAGGAAGAATAGAATGATATCTTCATGCTTAAGGGATTTCAAGGAGATGGGAGCAAGGAGGAAATATTTATCAAGAGAACCCTCCTAGATCCCAGAAGAATCACACTGATGCTTCTTGCTAGATTAACAGACACACTAATCTTTCACTATGCCTACTAGTTGTAAACTGGAGGAAAAGCCTGCCCCCCCCCCCGCCCCATATCATTTATCTCTGACTTGCAAAGAGAAAACAAACTAGTCTGTGCATTTACTTTGAATCTGGATTTTTTTTTTCCTCCTTGGGAGAGAATTACTGCAGTAAAATATAGTGGTGTCTCAGCCATCCATTTGTTGTTTTTCCACTTGATGGACTTCTCATATGCTATTTTTAATTCCAGGATGACCTCTTCTCTGTGAAGGAGAAGCTGCTTTATCTTAATTCTATGCTTAGAAGAAAAGTTAATATAAGCGTCACCCAAAATTGTGATAGTAACTTCTGAAAAAGTCTCATACTCTTGGACCATTATTTACCCCCTCCAATAAAATAAATACACATTATTTTCTGAAGACAAATGTAATTATCATACTTGGAATTACTCTGCTATCATCAATATTTCTCTCTCTGGAATAGACACTGCCTATAAAAGACAGGCATTGAGATGAACGGTCATTTCTGGGTCTTTTTTTTTTTTTTTTTTTTTTAGCCTAGGGACCATATTTTTACAGAACACAACAGAATATACATGAAAAAATATTATCTTCTAGAATAAAAAATTTGAACACTTTAACCATTCTGTTCTGACACAACATATCCTGGGCCAGAACATTGTGCTAGTTTTCAAGATTAATGATCATTTCCTTCCCATTTAAAATACCCTTCATTGCTGAAAAGACTAATTTAAACAAACTGCTATTGGCAACCTTATTTCTCCCAATAGTTTCTGAATCAATTATTAGATTGAAAACTCTTTGCTAGAGGGCTATTTTTAGATTCTCCTTTTGAATGGACCTTAAAAAAAAAAGTGACTATAAATTCATGAAACATTTCCTCAAGTGAAGTACTTACCAACCTATAAACTTTCCAAGACCAAGTTCTCTCCAACTCATGCAAAGGATGCTCATTAGCTGAGTTAAAAGAATTTAAAAGATCGTGCATGCACATGTTTCTGCTTGATTTGATGTCCAAGAAGAAATACACAACCAGTACCAATTAGAATATAGCCTCCTTTGGGTCCTAGGAGTTTTAAGTTCTTTTTGAAATTTGGGACCAAACAAAATAAGTACTATAAATTCTTTTCAAAGCAATCTGATTTCTCATTCAATTTCTGAGTTTGTTTCTCACTTTAGCAGAAATGAAAAAAACTCTGCTTAAAAACCCACAGAATAAAATAGTATAAGCACTTTGGAAAAAAGTTGTCAGTATGATATCATACAGCCCAAACAGTCCACTCCTAGGTGTCTACTCAAGAGAAATGACAGCACAAAGTTCACACACAATCGTGTATTCAAATGTTCATAGCAATATTATTGATAGGAGGCAAAAAGTGGAAAGCTTTCGATGTCCATCAACTGTTGAATGGATAAACAAAACAGGGCATATCCGTAAATGGGCAGCTATTCAACAATAAAGCAACAACAAATATTTTCCCTAAACTGCTTCTGGTTTACAACAAAGCATAAAACAGAAAGTTGCATAAAGTCAACATACTAAAATGGCAGACATTATGAAACCTGCCATCAGCTTTAACACTGATGGTGTACTACAAGAAAAGTCACTTGACAATCTGGGTCTGAGTTGTTATCGGGAAAGTAAGAGAACTGGATCAGACAACCTCTAAACTTCCTCCTGACAAAAAATTCTGATTCTCTGAGTTATCTTGTAACCACTGGAACTCAAATACAACAGAAGGTGTTGTTTGATGATAGTCTGGAATCTCAACACAGACCATGCCTGGTGGTATTTCATTCCACAAAATGTCCTGGTGCATCCAAACAGTCTAAGTGTTTGAACAATTCTTCAGCAGTTGCTGATGATTATGATGGAACTAGCACTAACCACGAAGTTCTTAATAAATCTTTCCTCAGTGAATGAGTATACAATGAATGTGAGATCCAGGTGGTGGAAACCAAAAACTAAAATGGAATGGGGCTCAGTGGAGGTGCACCTATGTGCCAGATACTGTGCTGAGCACAGTTTATTCCCTTATTACATTTTAATCTTCTTACATTTAATCTCAAAATCCATTCTAAGGAATTGCTAATAAAATATGTCCATTTTCCTGATGAGGAAAGTCACAACTAAGTTTACTAGGAACTTTCCAACAATGGATTTGTCGCCCATCCAACGTGTAATTTATCACCCACGGCAAAGTCGAGAACCTTTTCCGACAACTCACAGAACACACCCCCCTGGCCCTTCCGCCCGGCAGGCCGGGTCGCCCAGTTCCTGGCGGGCCAATACAGTACGTGGTGGGGGTGGAGTAGGTTGGGGAGGGCCTTTTAGAGAGGCACTGGCCCCGCCCACGGCGTCTCTGGCACGTCATCACGCAGGGCCGCGAGTGCGCGACTACGTCCTTTAAATAAGGCCTCCTAAGGACGCGCGCGCGAGTGAGGAGTGGGATGGAGAGTGTGTGGAGCTGGGCTCGCGCCGGGGCCCGAGCCGCTGCTGACCTCGAGGTGGGCAGGAAGGCTGCTTGGCCGCGGAGACGCGGAGGGGAGGGCGCCGCCCAGCCGGCGGGCGCACTAGAGAGGGGCGGGGGAGGGGAGCGTGGCGGCCGAGGCCCCACCGGGACCCTTCGCTCCTGGTTATGACGCGGCCCTCCCCCGGCTTTGCCTCTTTCCCTGCCTTCCTGGAACCGTGTTTTCTCGTCTCCTGTCCTCCTTTTCCCTCAGTCGTTTGTTTTGCTGACCCCCATGCTCCCTTTCCGGCCCCACGCTGGGTCGAAGTGTGAGAGGGGAATTAACTGGGAGCCTTTCAGGACCAACGCACCGACTCCTAAAGTTCACTGCTAGTTTATCACATTTCACTTTATCGGTTTGCTGGGGGGAAGCCCTGAACGCGGAGTGGCCACGCCAGATGTGTAGTCTCCGGTCATGCCTCTAAGTGATGCTGTGAAAGGTCACTCTGGTTGCTTTAAGCTCAGTTTCCTCAGATAGGAGGTTCTCGTTCTTGATAACCTTGAAATAGCTTTTGTCCGTCGTTGCTGGCCAAAATCTGTCCCATAATGGTGTATGGTTGGGGAAACTGAAGCAAGATTACAATGGGCAGTAAGGGAGTGGAGGGAAGCAGACTGAAGACTTACAGCTCCATGCTGTAAGTGGTCCACTTTGTAAGCCCTGAGCATTTGTTCTGTTTGGGCGCTTATTTTCTCAGTGTCTTGATAATGGCATTCCTTGGGGAAGTTAAATGAAGGAGAATTCATCCTACATGAGCATTGCTGCTTTGCTACAAAGAACCTTGGGAATATTCCTTTGTCCATTTAAGTGTTCGTGTTAATTGAGGGCAGGTGTTAATTGAGGGTAGTTGATTTTGCCCTTTTGTTTTCCTTTCAGTTGAGCTAGATTCTGGAGAAATCCTGCCAGTTGAAGTCTGCGCCAGAGCTAGGCAACAGAATTGTAAGCTAAAGTGAAGCAGAAATCTAGGAATATGAGCTCCCTGATGGCCATGGGTGAACCAAGGCTCAACTGGTGAGTTACATCAATTTGTAGTCCCCTAAATAGGATTGAAAGGGGTTACTAGCCAGATTTGGAAGGGAGCTTTCTGGCCTGGAGACATTTGGAGAAAAGAGAAAGAACATCTGAATTCAGGGTCACAGAATTTACCCTGTTGTCATTTTCGTACCCTGAGCATGACTGAGTTATAGCTGACCACATTTCCTTTCCTAAAGCCAATTCAGTATTCATATTGTTACTAGGTATATAATTCCATCTTATATTTATTGTTGGTCTCTTAGAGAGGATATTGGCATTTTCTTGTATTCAAGAACCTTGCCCATTTCTGCACAAGTAATTAAAAGAGCTTGTTTAAAAACAGACAAACCTCTTTTTTGTTATAGACTGTGTTTCAGAAGTGTTTGAGAGCTTTGCAACTAGAGGACTCCATTAAGCATGTACTTTAGAGCACTAATACATGTGCTGCTTTAGGTCAGTTTCACAAATTTACTGAGCCTCTACTCTTTGCTACAAAAGTCGCAAGAGATTACAAAGATAATTAAGTACCTGATTCAAAGAATCAGTATGTGCTCAAGAAGTACTCATTTATTGCAAACAGTGCTCCTTTGAGCATTGTTGCCTTGAGGCCTTTGAGTTCTTTAGTATGATATGCAGAAACCTGAGAATTTAATGAGATGTACAGATACAGTACTATAACAAGTAATAAGGAAATACACTGGTGTATAGCAAATACAACATCCACATTTTACCATGTATACTTTAATTATAGTTTTTTGGATAAACACCTCTTTAAAAAATTAGTATGGAGCAAATATGCTGAAATTTCCCATTTTGGGAATGGTTCAGTTAGAAGTAGCCATTTGCTTAAATTGTTCCCTTTGCAAGTTTTATAAAGCATGTGTCTTTGTTTCTTGCCATAAAGTATGTGTTCAGGTGCAGCGCAGATGCTCTTCTATGCCACTGACACTGTGAAACCAAAGGTGTTTCAGAGCCTTTCCAGAACTACCATTTTCCACAGAATCCTGATAATCTTTGTCCTTCCTAGATTAGTGGTTCACAATGTTGTACATTTAAATTCTTTAACCAGCACTTATTGCATGTTTACTGTAATGGAAACCATTTGACTATAATTTATTAGTCTCTAAATTAATTATAATGTTAATGGAAAATCATACATGACCTGAGAAAGGGCTTTCACAAGTGCACATCATTTATCATATTTGCTAAATTAACAAAATATCTTTTGTTGTTTCTCTTTACCTGGCATAGTAGTGCATGAAACAAAGATAGGTTGAGATGTTCTCATTTAGCAATCAAACATCTTAATAATATACCACAGAGATAGAGGTAAACCCTGGTCCTGACAGACTCCTTTTTGTACTTCAGTCTGTTCTGTTTTCAACTCTTAAGTGTTTCTGACATTTAATTGGGTGTGAAAGAAAAATGGCAGGCTGCTTATGGGAATTGGTGAGTATCAGAATGGGCCTAGGCTAAAAGTTATCCAAGAAGTAAAACATCTAAACTCACATATCTGATATATGAAATAAACGCTATTAAGAGGTGATTATCTGGGAAAGGGGGAGTAGAGGGCTTATAGTTATGAATTATAACTGTATCGTGATGATGCTTAATCTAGCATGAGAGTTTGAATTGTTAAATGCAAGTAAATTACTTTTGTTTCACAGGGATATTTCCCCCAAAAATGGCCTGAAGACATTTTTCTCTCGAGAAAATTATAAAGATCATTCCATGGCTTCGAGTTTAAAAGAACTGTTTATTTTGTCAAACAGGTAATATGTTTATTTGGTTATTTATTTCCATATTTGATTGCTTTTTTCTGTGAGTTGAAGTTTTATATCTACCTGTATCCATAATTAGAAATTAGAAGCATCCAGTACCTAAAGACAACTACTCTTGGCATATCTCTTTTCAGATCTTCCTCTGTGCATGTGTGTATACCTAAGATTGGATCATACAGTAACAGTATAAGTACTTAAAACTGTTTTGCATTGCCTTTTTTCTTTTAAGATAATATTTTGTGTATCTCCCTATATGCCTACCTACTGCTCAGTGTTCTTAATGGTTGCATATTGCTTCACTATATAGGTAAACATTTATTTAGTTAGTCTTGTATTGCAAAATGTTTGTGTTTTCTTTTTCTGTAATTATAAAAAAATGCATTGACAAACTTTTTGTAATTTGCATAAGAGAAATTCATGGAGATTGAAATTTTTTGTTAGATGGCATATTTTATAGTTTCATATATATACACTACTACCAAATTCCCAGAAATTTTCTTTGTCTCTGGTATGAAAGTACCCAGTAAGTGATAATTTTTTCCCCTCTTATTATTCCCATGCCTATAGCAGCTCTTCTTTGTATTTGATCATTACTACTCTTTTGTGGATGACTCCTTTGTGGATGGAAAGTAATTGGATTTACTAGAAAGGAGTATAAATACCCCAAATGAAGAATTAGGGAGCTCCACTTGGGGAGCACAACATTTATATCATCCTTCTCTCCTTTTGCAATGAAAGAAGTATATTTCCAAACTCTGCATGGAATAGAGTCCTGTCTTTTCCTGCCTGGTTACTCCCCTTTCTGTTAGCAGCCCCTCTTACTGTATCTTCAGTCACACACTTGAATGTGTTTCCTTTTAGTTAGCTTCTTATTCCTTCTCTCATTTGCCCTTAGACTTCTTTAAATATATGTATGTGTTTGCTGGGAAGAAATGAGGAACAAAAAAGCTTTAAGACATATAGAAAGCAATTAACAAAATGGCAATATAAAATCCTTCTCTTGAAATAATTAAATATATTAAGCTCTTGAGTCAAAAGACAGATTGGCAGAATAGATTTTTTAAAAGGTTTAAAAAACTTCCCTTCACACTATATTCCAGTGTACTTGCTTTCACTAAACATGTTCCCTCCTGGCTTCATACTCACTAGTCCACTAATATTTCTCCATTGGAGATTATCAGTGAGCTCTTGATTCTGAAAATAATCTCCTTCTTCCAGTTTTCTGGTTATTGTGATGTTTCTTTTGCTACCTTAGTCGTCATTAGATCCTTTGGAGCTTTTATTTATTTATTTATTTATTTGTTTTTTAAAGATTTATTTATGTATGCATACAAGAGCTGGGGTATAGGCCAGAGGTGTAGGGGGTGAGAGGATTCACCAGAGACAGATTGGGGAACAGAACAGGCAGATTGACTGAAATACCCTGCTGAGGGGAGCAGCAGGCGAGTCAGGAGAGGTCTGATGTGCTATGTGGGTTTCTCCCTGGCTGGCCGGGGGATCGAACTTGTGCTGCACTGGCTGTGGACAGCTTCATAGGTTGCATCCTAACCCCTTGCGCCACCAGGGAGGCCCCCTTTGGAGCTTTTAAAAAATAATTTTTTGGTTCCTCAGCCCAACCTCTGAATCTGAACCTTTGATGACGTGTCTGCAGAATCAATTCAGCGTGCAATTGGTATACGTATATTATAATGCACACTTACATTAAAATACCCCTCTTTACACAGTGGAAGCATTCTATGTATGATATTCTGCATTGTGCTTCCCCCTCGATAATCTGCTGATCTTTTCATATGAGTGTATATAGATTGACCTCATTTTTGTAATAGCTATATAATAATCAGTTGTTGAAACATGTAATGTCTGGACTGTTAGTATTTGTTTAGATTGTTTCCATTCCTTTACTATTATAGTAAGCCTCCTTTTTATACTTGTGTTAGTATAATTAGGATAAGTTCTTATAAGTAAAGGATATATATTATTGTTTTTTACCTTGATGATAGTCATGTGCCACCTAATGTTGGGGATGTTTTTGAAAAAATGTGTGAGTAGGCAGTTTCATTATATGAACACTATAGAGTATAAATACACAAACCTAGATGGTATAGTCTGCTACACACATAGGCTATATGGTATTGTCTTTTGGGACCACTGTCATATATGACGTTTGTTATTTACTGAAATGTCATTAAGTGACACAAGACTGTATTGCCAGATTACTATTAAAAACATTAAATAAGTGCTTTGTTGATTCCATCAAATGAATAGATAGGTTCATGTAAAAGTAAACATAAGTTGTGGTAAAGAGACAATTTCAAAAATGTTTCAATGAGTTAATTTCAGAGGAAACATCTCTCCAAAGTACCTAATTGTAATGTCTTTTCTGATATCAGCTATAGAAGGTCAAGACAATAAGAATAGAGACTTTATGAATGTGCATCTGCGGGTACTTTTTAAAAGCTATTTCTGTTATTTAACTTGTATCATTTCTTGCAGATGACTAATTTCTTAAAAAAATTATTAAATCATCGCTTTTATTTATTTGAATCAAAGAATGCCTAAAAATTCTAGTGTGCTGGTGTTTAGTGAACATGTATCTTTTTAAAAACAAATTTTGCCATGGACTTTTATCTCAGCCTTCATCTTTCCAGATGAAAAATTTCTGATATAATCTTCATCCTGCCATTAATAATTTATCCTTCATCCTTCTTAATAATTTTAATGGTTCTTTTCTAGTCTGCTCTTCAGTATATCCCAATGTGGGATGTAGTTTGGATTATGTGTGGGAGAGGACATCTTGCTGGCAATTGGGTACATCTAACTTCTAAAGGTTTTTTCTTAGACTATAGATTTCTGTACCCATGAAACAGTAGTATAGTTGAACTCTTAGTATAGAAAAAGGGTAGACACAAGGTGTGTTTCTAGCCTTTTGTGCCAACCTTAAGTTCTGTTAGAGTAAGAAATGGATTTTCAGACTATTAACTTAAAATTGTTTTCTTGATGGAAAAACTAGGAAGAATGTAAAATTTTTATTGTTGCTGATTTTCTATTTTTTTGTGTTTTCTGAGATATTTTGGGAAAATAATGATAACTTTTAATTATGCTTTTTCCACAAAAAGAGGTTTTTATTCAACTTGTATCCCTTGACCTGGGGTGAACACTTACCTTTTTTTAAATTTAAGTTTCTGGTTGTAGTTACCTATAATTGAGTTTTAAGCCAACAGGGAGAAAGCTTCAACTTGCAAAAGATTATGAGAAATTTTAACATGTTTAATTAAAAAAAAGTAAATTGTATTCAGAGGATGTAGAGTAGACTTTAGATGGAGTCTTTAGGCCCCATTTCCAAATATTTTAAAGAAACTACTGAAACCAGTAGACAATATAAGAAACTAAGTTTGAATTCAGCCTTTTTTTTTTAATTAGAAACTTTAGGTAAAAAGAAGAAAATGGGTAGTTAACAAAATGAAGAGGAAAAACTTCAAACCATCAACAGAAATAAAATATAATGCTGTAAATGTGGATAGAGAAACCCTGTCAGATGCTTTTGGCTTACACCCTGATGAAGATTTTGACAGCACTGCACATGGAAATGATCTTGATGTGCTGCCATTTCATTCTTTGCTGAATGTAGCCAATTTAAACTGCTAGAATTTCTTGACATTCCCACTCTGACATATCTGAGTCAGCATCTTGTTGCTGCAGCAGCTTAATTAAATTTGCCAGTTTGTGCCACAAGGACAGACATGTTCTCATATTCAGAGAGACAGCTGTGAAGCAGTATTGTTAAGAGATGCGGACACAATACCGTTAGGTTTGAATAACTCTCACGACATTTTCTAGTGAGAAATCAATTTGCTGTAATACATTTCTCCCAAGATCAGCAGTTAATATTCATTTTGTTAACCTAAAATATGCTTATTTTCATACAGTTATTGGAGAAACTTTAGTGGCTAAGTATGTCTTCTTTCATCTGTATTATTTTCAAAGTCAGCCTAAGCATCCTTATTTTAATTTCCAAAATTCTTTTTTTAAAGATTTATTTATGCATACAAGAACTAGGGTACAAACCAGAGGTGCAGGGGGTGGGAGGACAATGAGAGGATTCAGGTGGATTGACTGAAATACACTGCTGAAGGGAGCAGCAGCAAGACAGGCGAGGTCTGATGCGCCATGTGGGTCAGCTCCATGGCCAGGGATCGAACTTGTGCTGCAGTGGCTGTGGATAGCTTCATAGTGCTGAAACTTAACCCTTGGAACCACCAGGGAGGCCCCAATATCCAAAATTCTTTTCCCACTCACTCACTAACTCCCTTGATTGATTTTTTTACCCATAGTTTAGCTCTAAGAGAGTGTCGTGAAGCTCCTGCTTTATTTTGGTATCTATATCCTTTTCTAACAATTTTGGAATTTTTGCCATATTCTAGTATAGACAAATGAGTGGTATTTCTGGATGAGGCTTAGTGTATCCTTTGTCCAACACAGACCTAGCTAGATAATTCTCACTCTTATCAGGCTGAAGCCTTCTGCTTTTAATAACAGATATTTGTAAGAAATAAAACTCTTCCTTTGCTAGCCTGAATTGAAATTCATAGATATTAACCACATATCAAATACTTAAGAACTTTAATGTCCTAGATATATAAGTGTGAAAAAAAGGAAAATAGTGTATGTTATAATTTGTATGTTATTATGTATTTACATATATACCATTGCAACATGCAGCAGAAGATAAATGAAGTAGTCAGGTAAATCAGCTAAAATAAATAAAGTTGGATTTCAGAGAAGATAAAGTGTACCGTAAGAAAGTCCTGGGAAAAACAAAAGAGAATAAAATGTATTGTTAAGATAATAACAGACCAGACTTACTTGTGGAAGATAAAAGAAAGCCTGAAGGGACCTTTGAATATCATAAAGGTCACTAACATTTAGCACAGGCATGTAGTATTCTTCACTCTAAGTGCCTTTAATTCTCTGCCTCTTTAATGACAAACCAGATGCAGCCATAGGTTTCTAAAAATCCCTGAGGGAACTGATACTGTCAATAGTAAGAAATGCTGCTTTGGCTATTTCTCTTCCTCTTTTTTTCTCTTAATCCTTCATCTCAGTGTCTTTAGGATTCTCCTCAGTCACCTATTCAGTATTTCCATGTAGTCACATGTATTGATGTATTTATATATCTGTATCTGTCTCTATCTGTCTACCACTTTTCATTCTTTTCCACTCATCTTACCTACTTGATCATAAATAATCTTAGATAGTGGTGAATGTATCATGCTTAATGTTGGCTGTAGCTCTAATACTCAAATAGGGAGGTGTGTGGTAGTCACTTAGAGTCATTTAGTAAATATTAATGAATGGAGAAATGAAGTGTGAATCAGCAGATTTGCATCCTTATCATTAGTTTCTCATTCTCTTGGATTATCGTGTAATTTTGAATCAAATAGGGACCAATTACTGTGGTGAAAATTAGAGCTGTAGAGATTTAAGAATGTCATTTTTGTATGTATAGACTTTATGTAAAAATACAGATGACAGCTGACTAGGAAGAATAGAGGCAGGTTATGAACACGATAAGAAATTTGCATTATACATTAATTGGGGTGACAAAGTGATTATAAAAAGTTGGGAATAGCATTTTATGAACAAGTATGATATCAGGATATCTAGCTCCTCACCATTTTCTTCTCTAGTGTATTGCATTATGGGTAAGCCAAGATTTTTCTTTTACATTCACAGAAGGCATAAAGGCATTTCTAATGACTGAGCTTTGTACATAAGTGATAGGGGATTATACAACTTTTTCAAAGCCACTCTTGCTTCCATAAAATAAAGCGCACAGTGTTGGAATTTTCTTTTTCATTCTCGAGATAGTAAAGCACAGGAAACCAGACTAGATTGTCAGTGACTTTGTTAACTTCGAGTTTGTGATCCCATCATATCCTGTTAGTAACTTTTGCTCACTATTAACTGATACATCTTATGAAGAATTTAAGCATTAAAAAACAACTTGCATTGTAATAAAATATAAACATGAAATACCTGCATATATAATGGACAAGAATGATTTACCCCTTTAATAAAGGGGAAAAACTTGCAAATTAAATAACTTGTCTAAGGATAATGTCTCTTCTCTGTCAGATAATAGAAGGTAAGCTTGTAATGTGAACTTATCCTACATAATACTTAATTTACACCAAATGACTAAACATCAAAATGCAGGTGGCAGAGTTAGATAATAATCCAGAATTCACTGTGTTAATCATGCTATATTATCCCTGGTGATTGAGACTCATGAAGTTCCATGATAGTAATCTTCATGTGAAAAGCACATATTTGTAAATTGTATTTTTTTTTCCAGACGTATAGGAGAAAATTTGAATATCTCAGCAAGTTCTGTAGAAAATGAACCGGCAGTTAGTTCAGCAACTCAAGCAAAGGAAAAAGTTAAAACCACAATTGGAATGGTCCTTCTTCCAAAACCAAGAGTTCCTTATCCTCGTTTCTCTCGTTTCTCACAGAGAGAGCAGAGGAATTATGTGGAATTATTGGCTAAATATGCCAAAATGCCTGCAAATTCTAAAGCTATTGGAATAAATAAAAATGACTACTTACAATATTTGGTATGTATTCTGTTCTTTAGCATCAGTAAAATATATTAAAAATCAGGAAATACTTTAAATTTGCTTTTTACTTGTAGGTGCAATCATATTAACAAAAATGAAAAATTTAAGGAGCTTAATGGAGCCTTGATGCATTAATTCTTTTGTTGCTTCTATCACAATATAGGCATTTTGCTCTAGTTTTGAGCAGTTTTACTCCAGTTAGTCTTAAAGTGCTAGCAATAGGACTTTGCATAATTTACCGGAGCAATTTTAAGTTGTCTATTCCTTAAAGTTTTGAAGTTCTCAGTTATATAAATGATGCTATGCTGAACATCTTGGTTGCAAACTCTGTTCATGTGTATGTTTGCTCTCTAAAGATAAATTCTTAAAAATAGAACAGCTTAATCAAAACTTACACTTTTTAAGGGTTTCATCTGCAATTATACATGTGTAAACTGTTGTGTAAAAAATTTTAGCCAATCTGTTCATACCACTGTTGTATGAAAACTTTTTAAAATATCTTCATTAATACTAGAATTACCTCTTTTGCCTTTAATTTGGTATGGGAAGAATGGTAATTTCTTGTTTTCATTAGTTTCATTTACAGTGATGACTAATGAAAATAAATATTTTCCAAGTGTTTATAAGCTATTTCTATTTCCTCTTTTCTATTTGCCCATATTTCCACTGTGGTTTTAGTCTAATTGTATAATAATTAAAAGTATTTTATAAAGTAGGCTTATTCTTGACCATGTATTGTAACATTAGTCATTTACTTTTCTGTTTTTGTGGAACTTGTCATTGTTATGTAGTAATTTTAAGTTTTTCTTTGTGGTTTCTATTTTGGATATGATACTAATGATTCTCTGAGTCCAAATTATAAAAGCAGTGATTGTGTTTTAACCAAGCTTCCTATTCTAAGACATCTACTTTTTAAAAATTCAGGATATGAAAAAACACGTGAATGAAGAAGTTACTGAATTCCTCAAGTTTTTGCAGAATTCTGCAAAGAAATGTGCACAGGATTATAATATGCTATCTGATGATGCCCGTCTCTTCACAGAGGTAAAAAAAAAAAAAAAAAAAAGTCACATTTACATAAACTACAAAGTAAATAGGCAATAACAGCATTCTAAAATGTGTGATGATTCTGTAAAAAATATACGAAAATGTCAGTATTACCAATTCAGAGACCAAATTGTATGTAAGTTCTTTATTCACCGTGTATTTAAGTATTAGAAATGCACTACAAAATCATGTGCTATAGCTATTCATATTTATTTTCTTTTACTGCTTCAACTAAGTATTTGAGAATTAAATTTTACACACTTGGGTGCTTTGGTCTGATGTCCTGATCTCCTTTGTGAAAGAATATGTGTTTAAGCAACTATCCGGGCCCTTAAATCTGACAGATCCTATCGAATTTAGTCACATAAATTTGTATTTATTATCTTCATGGTACTCTGCCCCCACATTTCAACCATGAGTTCTTGAATCATTCATGTCAATTTAATAGTAAAGCATGTAAATTATTCTACCTTGTATCCTACCATCATTCAGTGGGCGTGGGAGAAATTTAGACTACTTACATAGTAACTGTTAATTTATATTTTATAGTAGTGTTCATCTACAAACACCAACTTCACTCTGAAAATTTTTTAAATCTTTAAAACCTGTCACCATGCACAATGTATTACATTTAACACCTCTGAATGTAAAATGCTTACTATGTTTTGTGTGTCTGTTACCACGATTAAAAACAATATGTAGTCACTATAAATTGGGAAGCTCAGACAGTATTACTTATGTGCTAAAAAAATAAATCTGCAAAGTAAAATTCTGTTTGTTAATATGAACCAGAAGGATGGTATTTTTAAGTTAAAGGAAGAATTCTGTTTTTATTTTCTCTGAACATAAATATGATATACTCAAATAGTGTGTCATTTTTCTGTAAGGAAGAGGAACTGGTAGCTGTTGCTGTTTTAATAATGCCTTTGAAATGACCCAGAGTGATGATTCTAAGACATAAATCAAATCCCTTCATTCCACTGGTTTAAAATGATTTTGTGTGTTGCTCAGTAAGAGACAGCCTTTACAAAGTTCTACAGTGGACTACATGATCACTCCTGCCCCATCCTGCTTTATCTTGTTCTCAGCTCATACCAGCCTATTGGCCTCTGTGTTTCTTGAATATACCAAACCTGGTCCTCTTGTAAGGTCTTTGGCTAGTCCCACCTTTCTGGCAAACTGTTCCCCATATATCTGCATAGATTAGTTCCTTGATTTCTTTTTTATTCAGATGTTAACTATAATGAGGGTGATTCTCATTACCCTGTTAAAAATATTGTCACCCTCTGTATTAACCTCACCATAGTTTTTTTGTTTTTTATTGTCTTTCTCCACAGCACCTATGTGTTAGTACTATTTTCTCACTGCTGGGTTTCCAACGACTAGAATAATGCCTGACACACAATAAGTGTGCAATTTAATTATCTGTTTAGTAGATATAAATATGCTTATTAACAAAGTTCATTATTAGGTAGCCAATACTTAGAATTAAGTCTTGTTTTTTAGCCAGACTAACTTGGCGGCACATTTTATCTAATTTACATTTTATATCACTACTCCAGAGGCTCACTAATATTTTTCTAAATTTTTTCTTACTGTTTAAAAAATTTTAAGAAATATACCTACTGGGGGGCTTCCTGGGTGGCACAAGGGGTTAAGTTGCAGCACTATGAAGCCATCAGTAGCTACTGTAGCACCACATGAGTTCAATCCCCAGCCTGCAGGGGGCTGACCCACATGGTGCAGCAGACCTCTCCTATCTCACCTGCTGCTCCCCTTAGCAGTGTATTTCAGTAGATCTGCCTGTTCTGTTCCCCGCTCTTGTCTCTGGTGAATCCTCTCGCCCCCTACCTCTGGCCTGTATCCCAGAAGGCTCTATGTCCCCTCCCAGATAATTACATTCTCCCTCCTTGAAGAGATAATCTCTTTCCCTTTGTTGCTAAGTCTCATGCCTTTGAGGGGTGGGGGTGAGGAGGCGGAGTTCTTCAACTTCTCTTTTACCTGTTTTTGAATTTTATTTGAACAGAATTCCTTTGTGTCTTCTTTCACTCAGTATTATGTTAGATTCATAACTCAGTACCACAAGACTGTCCCCACTTCAGACACCAGTTGCAAAGCCTGGGTTTTCACCTCTACTTCTGACTGACTGACTGTAAGTTGAAGGTCCCCATGACTTCCTGCTCTGGTTCCTTATTTTTTTTCCTCAATATTTATTTGTGCACACAAGAACTAGGGTACAGGCCAGAGGTGCGGGATGGTGAGAGGATTCACCAGAGACAGAGTGGTGAACAGAACAGGCAAATCTACTGAAATACACTGCTGAAGGGAGCAGCAGGCGAGACAGGAGACCTCTGCTGCACCATGTGGTTTAGCTCCCTGGCCTGGGATCAAACTTGTGCTGCAGTGGCTGCAATAGCTTCATAGGCCCTGGTTCCTTAGTTTGCTGGAATACCTTGTAGAACTCAGGAAAGTGCTTTGCTATTTCCAGTTTATTTTAAATACAATACAGGAATTGCCAAATGCGAGACAGATGCATAGAATAAGGTATATGAGGGAATCCCATCATTTAGGGCTTTATTATGAAGGTTTCATTTTATAGGTGTGTTTGTTAACTTACTGGCTTTTGGTGTTTGGCTGAATCTTTAGTCCCCACTCTTCCTAGAGGTCAGAAAGTGGGATGGAAAGTTCCAACTTTTTAATATGCCTTAGAATGGCAGCTTTCTTTCTGGCTGCCATCTCTTATCCTGAAGCTCTCTAGGGGACACCAGTCATGGCATTAGCATGTAAACACACTGCTGCCATTCAGGAGACTCAAGGTTGTAGGAGCTATATATCAGGAAACAGGCAAAGACCAAAATGTTTCTTTTTGTTTCAAACCCCTTAAACAGGAACTTAGGTTCCCCTGTCCTCTCAGCTCATGCTGCCACTGTTATACTTTATATCTGTGAATTTGTCTATCCTGGTTACTCCCATATAAGTGGAATCATAAATAATTGTCTTTCTGTGACTGGTTTATTTATTTTACTTAGCATAATATTTTCAAGACTCATCCATGTTGTGCTATCTTCCATTTTAAGATTGGATAATAGACTTAACCATTTGTTAAATGTATTGTAAGTATATTGTTGGGCCACAAAAGAAATTCTGCCCCTCTTGGTTCTTCTCAGGCTGGATAAGTCATCAAACCAATATTGGGAAGGTTAGCAAAGCAAAAGTCAAGTGAATAACACATGTATGGAGAATTTATAGAGTCATAAATTCTGAAGATCATGGAGCATATCAGGAATGTTTATCCTGCATTTAGGGACCTGTGGTGTTAAGAGCAAGAAGAGGACTCAACATGCCAGCCAAAAAGAGGGTTATCTCATCTTTACTCTGAGAGTAAAGATTAGATTGTTAAATAGAGAGGATATGTTTATTGTTAAACCTGGAGCTAGATGACAACCAATCCCGAAACCCTTTCTTTTCAGTCATAAAAGAAGAAGCAGTGTTTGCTTCTCTGATTAGGTAAAGGGCAGAAACTTAGAATCTCATGATCCTTCTTTGACTAGGGAAGAGTGAATGACCTAGTCAAGGATAGAAGCTTCTCCTCAGATTCAAGCTATTTCACTGCTTTAAAATGCTCTGCATGCCAGACTGGGAAGTCTTGAGGACACCAGTTGTGAGAATATTGGAGTAGTATGATGAGGGCACCATCAATATGGACATGGCTTATCCATTTATCCATAGATGACATGTAGGTTGCTTTTGCCTGTTGGCTATTGTGAATAATACTGCTATGAACATGGGTGTGTGATATATGTTCAAATCTCTGTTTTTTAAGGCTTAAATATAGGAGTCTTGCTTTTAACTCCCCACCTTGTTTAGAACTGGTTGAGTCATTGCACTCAAGCTACCTCATATTTCATGGGTTTTCTTCCTACTTGCTGATCCTATTTCTCCTCATGTTAGGTATTTGGGGTTTATTTATTTATAGTCTTTGAAGATTTTCTTTGTTTTTTACCAAGCCCCAGAAATAGATAAAAATATTAGTTGTGCTTTATTCAGAATCTAGTATTACTTGGATAGGAGTGCTCTTCAAGGTATCTACTTTACCATACTGCCACAAGACCTGTCTATTAAGTTTTTAACTTTCAAAACATATATAATACCATATTTTTCCCTCTGGACCAAAATAAAATTTAGGGACCACAGCCATATCCACTTTCTTTGTAATGGTAAATATGCACTGTGTACATGAGTGTATTTTTGGTGTGTTTAACTCTCAAGATATTTTCATTCGTAAGGATGTTTGACAGAGAACAGCCTGACCACCTTTATCCATTCTTAACTTTTTCAAAGATAAGTTACTAAGAATTTTTTATTAATATCAAGTAATACCTTTAATCCTATATAATATATCTTAAGTGGAGTGTAAAACTGACTTTTTTTTCTTTCTGTACTATCATTACTAAATTAGGTGAACTTCCTTTAAAAGCCCTATAATATTCAGCAGTTTGACCAAGAAAGATATGCCTATAAATACCTAATCAGAATAGTTTGTCACATGGTTTTCATATGTTGCTTTCCTTTGCATATTCAAATTCTTGAAACGATTGCTATAGACAGGAATTTGAGGGGAGCAAGTTATCTAATACTATAAATGAAGAGCAAAAATACTGTGTAGGTATAAATTGGCAGATGATTAGGGTTTTTAAAACTTTACCATATTGACCTACGTCTGCCTTAGCTAAAAGTAATATCTTGAATTAACCATCAAGGTTAGTATTGAAAAGAGGTGATGAGGGGCCTCCCCGGTGGTGCAGCGGTTGAGCGCTGGATTGCGAAGCTGCCCGCAGCCTCTGCAGCGCTGCTTCGATCCCCGGCAGCTCCCTGGGCTGCCACCGGAGGAGGGTCCCACCTGGCGCACAGACCTCTCCTGCTGCCCGCTGCTCCCCTCAGCAGTGTACTTCGGTCCTTCCGCCTGCTCTGCTCCCCGCTCTGGCTCTGGCAAATTCTCTCACCTTCCCTCGCTTCTGACTGTACCCAGTGCTTGTATGAATGAATGAATGAATGAATGAATGAATGAATGAATGAAAAAAAAAAAGGTGATGAAGCCAGAAAGCTAGCCCACATGGCGCAGCAGACCTCTCCTGTCTCACCCGCTGCTCCCCTCAGCAATGTATTTCAGTAGATCTGCCTGTTCTGCTCTCCCCTCTGTCTCTGATGAATCCTCTCACCCTCGCCCCTGCACCTCTGGCGTACACCCACAGATGTCTGCATAAATAAATGAAAATAAATCTTGTCTGCATAAATAAATTAATATCTTTAAAAAATAAAAAGTCAAGGAAGGTAAAAAATATGAAAGGTAGTAGGGAGTGAGGACTAAAGAAAGGAATATGAAACTATAAATGAAAATATAAACTGGAGTCAAGTTAGAAATTTATATTTTTGACACATTTTATCAATGTCTTAAGAGAAAGGGGATGATGAATAGGATGTGCTTATTACTCAGAGCTTTTGTGATCTAAAGTATATTCAGATTAAATTCACTGACATAAGAAAAAATGGGTTTCTTACAAGATAAAATGTGTATGTGTATGTGTATTTTAATTAACCACCCTTTACCCCCACTCCAAGAAAAAGCTGCTCTGCTTCTCTGAATATATGTTATCACAGTGGCATTTATTCTGATTTGGTAAAGCTGTGAATTTTGTTACCTTACTGATTAGATATTCTATTAGATCACCAATATTTTGAAAGTAGAGAGAAAGAACACTGCATATCCTATTATTTGAATTAGTTATTTCTGATTTATAATTTGACTGTAAATTAGAATGATTTCATTAATTCATTGTGCTTAGATTCTTTAGGGTACTAAACTTATCTATTTCTAATTATGTTATTGCTTTTATCGCACTTAAGTGTTTTAAAATTTCACATATTTGACAGTTTCCTAAAATAGTATATATCAAATAATATAAAATATGTGTTTTCTCTAATTTTAAATTTTAATACAGTTGCTAATTTTAGTATTACTAGTTATCAGTATTTTAGGAAATTAGATTAAAAAGAATTGTTACAAAAAATTAAGGATTATACCTGGATCACTGTGTTATTTGGCATGAATAATTATATAGTCACATGTAACTAAGTTATTTTTGTTGTATCACTAGAAATGTATATTGTATATAAATTTCTCTTCATTTTAATTTCTTAGCAAATTTTAAGAGCTTGTGTTGAACAAGTGAAAAAGTATCCAGAATTCTATACTCTCCATGAAGTCACCAGTTTAATGGGATTCTTTCCATTCAGAATAGAGATGGGATTAAAGTTAGAAAAAACTCTTCTTGCTTTGGTAAGATTTATAGTATGGTTTATCTGAAATTTTATCTGTATTTCACAGACATTATTTTATGCTTGTTAAATTTTGAACAATGTGACTAACTTAAAATATACTATATAAATGTGTGTCACTTTTTAAAATTACATAAGTACCCATATTGTTTATAAAAATGCCACTACCAACTTTGTTGATTTTCTTTTTTTGGTTCCCATCTTTCTTAATATTTCTGAATACAAGCAATAGCTCTTTTTATTTTAAGGGATTTAAGTCACAATCTTATTGGAAGTAAGCATGGGAAGAGAGGATATTTTTAGAGCTTGAAATTTTAGAGAAAATTCCATGGCACCTTTATTTTGGATCATTTCTTTAAAAGAATATATGGTGGTTGTCAAGCATAAACATGAATGTCTTGGCTTAAGGAGGCTCTAAATTTAACATTTGTACTTAGAAGAATTTTAGATTAATAAGAGTTTCATGTGATGAAAGGATACTTTTCTTAGGGTTAAAAGCATCATGATTTTTGCAATAAAACTTTTATTTTTCTTATTTAGGGCAGTGTGAAATATGTGAAAACAGTATTTCCATCAATGCCTGCAAAGTTGCAGCTCTCAAAAGATAACATGTCTGCTCTCGAAACACCAGAGCAAATAGCTGCAGCTATGCATTATGTAAGTACAAAGGTGATTTTGGATGGTCCTAAGTAATCTTCTGTACCTCATGAAATACGTATAACCTGATGTTCTAAAGTCCTCTTCCTGAATTTCTCTCTTCTTATTATTACTTTATTAAATTCATTTAATAAGTACAATGAAGTAACAAGTTATATGTTGTTTTTCAGGATATTAGCAAAGATCCAAATGCAGAGAAACTTGTTTCAAGGTACCACCCTCAGATAGCTCTAACTAGCCAATCATTATTTACCTTATTAAATAATCATGGACCTAACTACAAGGAGCAGTGGGAAATTCCAGTGTGTGTTCAAGTAATACCTGTTGCAGGTTTGTGATATAACTTGTCAAGTAATACCTCAAAAAAAAGTTTAAATGTTCTATTTCAGCTGTTTAAATATAGTGGTGATTTGACAAATCCAAAAATCTAGTCTTACTTTAAGGAGAATATACATTTGACATTTATATTCAGTAGGACTTTTTAATGTATAGCACCACCATAGAATTGACACTCACTTGGGGAGGTGATAAAGAAATAATTATGGTGTAGGGTGGCCAAAATATACATGAAAATGATGAAGTTTCACTGCAATGAAAGGAATAATGTACTTTTTTGGACATTCCTAAATGGTGAGTTCCCGGAACTTATTTACGTGCCTGTTACTAAAATTCAGAATTAAATTAGGTCTGTATTTACAAGTGTGGAATAGTCTCTCCTTTGACAGTAAAATGAATATTTGCACATAAATTCCTCTGTGCAGGTTCCCCATACTGTTTTTGTTTATAACTAATAATTTCATATCTGCAGGAATTAATATTATTGTATGTAGCAACATAATTACCATAAATGAAAGACTATGTCAACTGAAACAAAACTATAAATTAAGAGTTAAATGTAATATATTCTTGGGTGGTACATATTTTCATCACTTTTTGAAAGTATAATCCTGTACTTTCAATCCTATAAGAACTAATAAGGACAATAAAAGTATAACAGTGAAAGACAGGAAATCCTTTCAAAAATTTATTAGAACAGGGATGAATCTATAGGGAATTAGTGAAATAAGTCAGAGAAAGGCAAACACCATATGATTTCACTCATATGTGGTATATAGAAAAAACAAACAGATGAGCTAAATAAAGGAAAATAAGCTTTTGGACTGAAAGACCAATTAAGGGTTACCAGAAAGGAAGAGGAGAAGGGTGAATAAGTTAGGAAAAGGGAAGCAATAGTATTGTGAAGGACAAAATTGGACTTGTAGTATTGAATTCATTGTAGTATTCATGTAATATGCATGCTGATTCCCAATGATAGAATGTGCCTGAAATTTATATAGTGTTATATGCAATGTTACTTAAATAAAAATAATTTTTAGAAAGAGAATTTTCTTGCTAGTGAGATTCTCATGTCCTTACATCTTTACAGAATTTTAAAGATCTTCTAGTTAAGGATGGCAAATATATGGGAACATGTGCTATTGCTCTATCTTAATTTTATTTAGTGATCCTCTTGTTATACATCCCTTTTTATTTTAATATGTAACTACTGGAAATTAACCACATCCTTTCTTCTTTTCTGTCTTAAGGTTCAAAACCAGTTAAAGTAATTTATATTAATTCACCACTTCCCCAAAAGAAAATGACAATGAGAGAGAGAAATCAAATCTTCCATGAAATTCCATTAAAATTCATGATGTCCAAAAGCACATCAGTTCCAGTCTCTGCGGTGTTTATGGATAAACCTGAAGAGTACATAACTGAAATGGATGTATGTAGTGTTTTCTTGTTTTTCTTAAGGGGATATACCTGTTTGTGCTTTAGAAACACAAAGTTTTATTGCAAATCACTAAATCTAGTAATTAAAAATAACCTTTAGATTTAAACTTAACAATGAACCCTAGGTTGAGCACGAATTTAGGCAACTAATTTAACCTTTCTTGACCTCAGTTTTATCTTTTTATTTAATAAAATGCGATAATACCTAACTCACAAGTTTAAGGATTAAATTTGATATTACATATATTATATTGATATTGATGTGAAACACTGAGTATAGATTGTACATACTAAAACCAGTGGTGGTAGTAATTGTGGTAGTACTTTTAATTGGTCTCATTCATATTCAAGGAGTTTTTAAGTATGAAAAGGAACAGATGAGTTTGTTCAGTGCAAACAATATTAGACCAGACTTTTTAATACTTTTCAATATACTCAGTAGCTATTACATAAGGCAGGTTACATAATTTCTTCCCTCTATAAATGTGTATTATGATATTAACTAGCTTTGAGGATTGTTCAGGTATAAATGAATTTATATATGTGAAACATTTAGAACAATGCTTGGCATTCCATAAATATTAAGTTCTATTTTGTTAACTTTTATTTAAAAGTATTTTTCATGATAATTAAGACATTATTTATAAAAAACTTCATTCTTTCTACAAATATTTATTGAACAAATACTGTTCTGTGCATTGAGAATAAAGCAGTAAACAAAAATAAAATCACTTTTCTCCTGGAGCTTACTTTAATGGCAGTGTGTGCAGATAATTAGTAAAATAATAGCAAGAAAGCATATGCTGTATAGGTTAAAGCGGGGGGGGGGGGGAATGGGGATGGGTCTATTTCACATTCATGATCAAGAAGGCTTTTCCCCCAATAATAGGAAATATGAACAGACTCGAAAAAAGTGAGAGAGAAAGTTTTTAAATGAATAGAAAAATGTTTTTCTAATGTATATTTAAAAGCTCATAAAGATACTGGGCTTTTGTCTTTCATATCTATTTGTATGTTTTTCTCTGTCATTGGCCTTTTAGCATATCTTGTGATGTATATGTTGTAAAGCACTTCCAATTTCTCTTAAGTTTTCTCTTTTTACACTTTTCCATCTGCCTAAAATTTAAATCGGTAGTAGGTTAATGTTTAGAAATAGTGTCATGAAGAAACATGAACTTAAAGACAGAATAATTTCTTCTTGTCACGACAGAACAGATAATTGTACTTCCCTCATTACTGAAAACAGCTACAGAAGTTGGAAAAGTATATAAATTTATTCTTGAGAATCCTCAAATGGCTAGCCAACATAGTGAGAAAGTATAGGTTTGAGATATTAGAGAAGATCAGAATTCATGGAGGTAAGGCTGTCACATTTTGCCCTTGATGGGTTTACCAGTTATGAGAAGGCAACAGGAAATGAACTCTGTGTTTTGGCAGCATTGCAGGACTATTGGGACAAAGTCAGTTGTCCACCAAGGATTTCAGTGCCTCAGGGCTGCACTGTAGGAGGAAGGCTCACTAGAGATAAATCAGCTTTCTTAGAGATTATAGCCTGAATTTTCAGATCTTGAACTTGAAATCATACTCTTTCAGATTTCTGGTTTCTCTAGATATCTAGTAAAGGCAAATAAAAATAATTCTTGGAGGAACATAATGACATTTTGATCCTTAAATTATTTCTCTGACTTTTAAAATACGGCATCCAGAAAGCACTGAAAGATAACTTGACACATATATAGGAAACTGGATACTGTGAGCAAGAACCATCAGAAATAGTGACCAAAACTATAACACATAAAATTAAGTCTTAGAATTGCCAGTCATAGACTATAAGCCAATTCTTTTTAGCTATATGACACTCAGTGAAGAAATTAATGTTATGCTTGAAAAATTTTTTTCTGCTTAATGTTTACTTCACAAATGAAGTATATTGAATGCTTAATAGTAAGAAACCTTTATGAATTTTACTCCCTAAGTATAGTATAAATGGGCATAAATTTCTTGAAGATTTGTAGAACTGAAGGAGACTGGATAGGTGGGTTGTATGCCAGATCCATTTTAGCGTTTTGAGAATCCCTATACAGCTTTCCATAGTAGCTAGACTAGTTTACATTCCCACCAGCACTGTAAGAGCATTCCTTTTTGTCCACATCCTTGCCAGTACTTGTTTCTAGGTTTTTTGATGTAAGCCATTCTCACTGGTATGAGGTGGTATCTTACTGTGATTTTTGATATGCATTTTCCTGATATCAAGTGATGATGAACATTTTTTCATATGCCTGTTGGCCATTTCATGCCTGAAAATTTTAATGAGGAACTAGAACTTTAAAAAAAGCTGCAGTTTTTAAAAAAGAAGCTAGGAAATTTAAAACTCAAAAGTATATTGTAAGTGCACCTTAAGATCCTGGAAATATATTTATTAGCACATTAGATAATGCTGAAAATAGAATAAAATGGAAGATGGTTTGAAAATACTATAATGAAACACAGACAACAAAAATAAAGTATGGAGACTAACGCAAGAAATGTAAAGATAAATGTAAAGTTGAGAATGGTATAGCTGCATACAGAATAGTGGTATGAAAGAGGTGATATGACCAAACCAATACTTGAAAACCAAATAAATACATAAATAATAATCTTAAAGACCCCCAGATAAACAAAATAAAGGTGCATTGCCTATATAGAACTGAGAGTTAGACTGACAAATAACTTCTCAATGACAATGAAAGCCAGAAAACACTGAAACACTGTATTAAGAGAAAATAACCTACTTAGTAAAATTTTCTAATCAGTGAAGATGTCCTTAAACAATGAAAAGTTAATAATATTTGAGAAGTTAATGATAAAAATTAATAATCTTTTAAGGTAAAAGTTGAGTTTGCTAACAGCAAACCCCTTTTCATGAATGTTCTTCAGACAAAAGGGAAATAATCTCAAATGGAGAGGACAGTGAAAATGGAAGAAAGAATGAGGAATAACACAAGTGAACATGATATAGATAGGCTCTAATTTATAGGTGCATGTATGGGAACTCAGGAAGTTAAGAGTTCTGAGATGCCCAAGCCTTAAGAACTCTAGAAGTCCTCCACTTAGGAAAAATCATTTTTGGTATTGTCCCTGTTGAGCAGAACAAAGACTTAATTAAAGGAGGGCCTCCCCTGTGGCGCAGCAGTTGAGCTCTGGGTTGCGAAGCTGCCCTCAGCCTCTGCAGCGCCAGTTTGATCCCCGGCCACCTGGCGAGGGTCCCACATGGCGCGCAGACCTCTCCTGCCGCCCGCTGCTCCTCTCAGCAGTGTACTTCGTCCGTCCGCCTGTTCTGTTCCCTGCTGTCTCTGGTGAATTCTCTCACCCTCCGCGCTTCTGAGTGTACCGGTGCTTATATAAATAGATAAATCTTTTAAAAAAAAGAAAGAAAAGTACTGCCAAAAAATTTTCAACTGCATCTAGTGACCAGATTGTTAGTAATGATAGTTATTGTGAGCACATTAAATTGTATAATAAAACAAATAAGTAGTTATGTTAAGAACCAAGAAATTCAGCGTAAAAGAAATGCCAAAGACATTAAATAAAAACTCTAAAATAATAATGAAATTGTATCAAAAAGATGTCTAAACCAACTTGAAGGAATTCCCATTGGTTGGAGATGTGTCCGTTTGACCATGACAAAAAATGACTGCAATGAATTAAAACATGATATATGTGAAAAGTATCATTCATAATGATACTTGAAAAAGGTATATAACTAGTTGTTTGGAGGATGCTGGCACGTAAAGCCTAAATTTTGAAAACTGATTAAAAAATCTAGTATTTGTCTTGACTTTCCAGTAAAAACTGTATTTCAGGGTAACAGTAGGATATGACCATCACCATTTTGCAGCTCCTAATGTAATAATGAATCTAAGCAATAATCATCATTTGATTATCAGGTACTAAAATCATTAGAAGATCGATGAGGAATTTTATAATGGGTTGGTTAATGATGACACACAAATCAGTGTATGAATTGTAATATCACAAGGAGAGCGATATCAGACATCATTAGCCTCTTGATTGAAGTGGAATTACACAGTACCACATACAACATTCAGGTTAAAAAAACAGAAGTGTACCTGAATCTGATGAAACTGCTAAATCATCTTAATAGTAAATTCAAGAAATAGAAGGATGTGTTAAGAAACATCATAGAGACACAGATTTTAAAATCCAGAATGGAATAATTTAAAGGATAACTACTCTGATTTCTTCTATGAATATCTAGTGACTATGAGAGTTAATAGAATGTAGGGGGGATACATTTGACAAATTAAAGAAATTGAGAAACTTAACCAAATATAGAATCTTGATTGGACCCTGATACCAGTAAACAATTGTAAAAAGACATAAGGCTGAAAGTTTTAACATTGATTAGATATTTTATGACACTAAGTAATTGTTTTTATTGAAGTAATTAGTGATGTGATTGTTTTATTGAAGAATTCTTATACCCCAATATTATACCCCAATATATTAAAGTATCTATTGATTGGTGATGTCTCGAAATAATTTAGGTATTTGTATCTGAGTTTTTTTTCTGTTGGGAATAAAAGCATTACCTTTAATTCATTAACTTTTGACTTTAAATCTATTTTATTATGATTATTTTGGTTTTTTCATAGCTCTTATTGTTCAAATACTGTGAATAATTCTTCTGATTTTTAATGTGTAATGTTTCAGGTTTTGTTGCTTTTAAAGTATTTGTAATTATCTTAACTTCTTTTATCCATTAATTTAGGGTAGTTTTTAATTCCACATGCTTAGTTCATTGTTGGTTTAAATTTTTCTTAATGATTTCTGACTATTTCCTTCTAAACAGAAAGCAAGATCCTAGCATATTCTGCTTTGTGATATATTGATGGTTTTTTTATTTTTGTTCTTTTGTGTATTAACTTTATAGTCTGTCTTTGGAAATGCCCCTTGGATTCTTGGGAGGGAAAAGGTATCTTTATAATGTATTCATGTTTTTAATCATCCACATATTTTTGTTTCGATTATGTAATATACTTTCTATGTTGATATTTATTTTTACTTAGAGACTGTGTATTCTTGACCAAATACAGTTGGTCATTTGTCAAATTTTCCTTTTTTTTCTTGGTTTCAACTGTGTATTTTGACAATGTTGTTTGCATGTCACAATTCAAGGCCAGACCATTTTGTTCTTCTCAATTTCATTTTTCAACAAAGATTTCTTTTTCTACCTAATGCTTTTTACATGAAATCTGCTTTGTCTCACACTGATACTGCTACTCTTTCTCTATTTCTTGATGGCCCATTGTTTCATTTCTTCTTTGTGGTCCTGACTATTTTTTCATTAATGGAAATTGCTCTAGGGTTGTAGTAATTGCAAATATTTCCTTTTCCTGTACTAGTACAATTTGGGAATTTGTCTGTGTCTCAGCAATATTACAATGAGAAGTTAACATTAGATTAGTTGCCAGTAGTGTGTTACCATATTCAGTAAGAACCTTTCAGAGCCATTAGACTTTTCTTTTTGCATTCAAAGAGCATAAACTGTATATGTGATGGGTAAGGACATTAAGAGATAGATTAAGGGTGGTCTGGAATTTTTGTTAATTGTTTGCCGATGTATTTTCTTAAGATGTCTTATGAAGTTAATGAAAACCGAAAAATTGAACCCCTTGAAAATTTGGATCTGGATTTTGATGATGATGTCACAGAACTTGAAACTTTTGGAGTAACCACTACCAAACCTTCAAAGTCACCAACTTCAACAAGCACGTCTACAGTGCCCAACACAACAAATACTCCCACAGCACCCAGTGCAGCAACACCCATGGCACCAATTGCACCGGACATTTCTGCTCATTCTAGAAGTTTATCTCACATTCTAATGGAACAGTTGCAAAAGGAGAAACAGTTGGTGACTGGTATGGATGGCAGCCCAGAAGAGTACAGAAATAAAGATGATCAGGGATGTGTTCCAAGTAATGAAAAGGTATCAAATTCTGACAAATCTTTGAAGCAGAATAGTGACTTGAAAGCATCTGAGAACTTAGAGCTAGAAAGTCCTATGGAAATCGAAACCTGTAATGAAAATATGACTACTGATATGGTTCTAGAGAACACAGGCAATTCAAAGGATAAGACTGTTGGATCAGAAGCAGATAAAACTGAAGATGTAATGTGTAATAGTGATACAGATGAAGACTGTTTAATCATTGATACTGAGTGTCAAAGTAGTAGTAATGGAAAGACAGCCGACGTGGATTCCAATATAAGTTCTGAGCCAGCTAACCCAATTTCTTCCTCAGGACAGGCTTCTGTAGGAAACCAGAATAATACTAGTAGTTCTGAAGAGTCGTGTGTTTTAAAAAAACCAATCAAACGAGTATATAAAAAATTTGATCCAGTTGGAGAAATTTTAAAAATGCAGGATGAACTCTTAAAGCCCATTTCCAGAAAAGTGCCTGAATTGCCCTTAATGAATTTAGAAAATTCTAAAGAACCTCCTGTTTCTGAGCAACCCTCTGCTGCTTCAGATACCTCTAGTTGGCCAAGATCTATATGGCCTTCTGCATTTCATAGGCCAAAAGGAAGTAAGTACCTTTTTATAGGGAATTTTTATATTTACTGTTTTTTGCCTACTCTTTGTCCTCAGGTTTTTCTTCTCTCACTTCTTCTTTATTTTAACCTATTTTATCATCTTAATGATATTCGTTTTTCTATCTACTGATCAATATTTCAACTTCAGGATCTTCTCTGTGTACCTAGAGGTATATGGATTTTGTAACCAGTATTTACTGTGTATAGTGGTTACTAAATTATAATTAATGTGTTTCACCAAACTGATGGAGAAATGTATCAATGTTAGTCTAAAATGTATGTATTCTTTGTGTTAAGCTACAGTTTAGTTCTTTTTCATTTTGTGAAATAGTTATAAAGCTGCACCTCAGTACAGCCTCAGTAAGGAATAACATTACTTTTTTTCCCTTTTATTAATTTTAAAGTTTTTTACACTGTTCATATTTTTACAGTATTTGATTTTTCCCCTCAGGTGTAGTCCTCGTAAATATTCCACCACCACAGCACCTATGATCCATCACCATAGTCCCTTGTGTTCTTCCTACTCCTGTTTTGATTCCTTTTCCTCCGCCTCCCCTCCTTTAAGCCTCACATCTATAGTTTCCCACAAGTTTTGTCTTTTTGTTTTTTGACCCTATGTTTGGTTTCCCTATATTCCTCCTGTAAGTGATAACATCTGATATTTTTCTTTTTCCTTCTCACTTACTTCACTGAACATAATCCTTTCCAGCTCCATACATAAGTTTATCTTTTTTGATTTCTGAGTAGTATTCCATTGTGTGTATATACCACATCTTGATCCAGTCATCTGTTTTTGAAAATTTAGGTTGTTTCCATGTCGTAGCTATTGTAAATAGTGCTGTAATGAACATAGGAGTAGAGGTTTCCTCTTGAATTACTTTTTAAAGCTTTTTCAGAAGCTGTCTCACTAATTCATGCTTTATCTAGAGTTATTGAAGGTGTAAGCAAACCTTAAAGCTTTGATTTTAGCTATTGGTGCAGAAGCATTAAAAGCAAAATGGTAATAGAGCGATGGTCAGCCGAGAGGAAATAGAATGGTACAGTTGGTAGAAGTTTAAAAATAGATCATCAAATTGTTTAATCTTAATTTGTGATATATGGGTAAAGGGCAAATGTGTTGTTAAATAAAAATGAGAAATATATTTATTTTTAAAGGATTGCCATATGAACTTCAGGACTATGTTGAAGATACTTCAGAATATGTAGCTCCTCAGGAAGGAAATTTTGTTTACAAGTTATTTAGCCTGCAAGACCTGTTGTTACTTGTGCGATGCAGTGTCGAAAGGATAGAGACCAGACCGCGCTCTAAAAAACGGAAGAAAATCAGAAGAGTAAGTTCTTACTTGGGGAGTTAGGATGTGGTAGCATAATTAGACAGCAAATATTTAACATGCACTTTTAATGAAGTTTTATTGATTATCATGATAGTGTTTCCTGTAAAATACTGAAAACATTTCTAGTAAGAGAAAATGTTTTGTTAGTCGTAAACGCCAATAACATTCTTATATAGAATAATGTAAACTTCATTGAAAACAATACCATCATGGATTTGGTCTTGATTTGATTGGCACGTACATTCTTCCTTTCTCTTCAGTTTAGATCTCCATTATGACATAAGAACTTTTTTTCTCTTACTTTGGGATCTTCTTGACTCAATTTAGAAGTCAATTAGAAATTTAGAAATACACCTTTCTAATTGAGTATTGAGTATTTCTAAATACTTGAGTATTTCTAAATACTTGAGTATTTAGAATACTAAATACTTTAAAGTATTCTAAATACTTGAGTATTTCTAAATAATTGAGTATTTCTAAATGCTCAATTTAGAAATACACCTTTCAAAATTATGAAAGGTGTATTTTCACACATATTTGTTAAGTCTTCCCAGAATTGCTAGAAGACCAAATTGCTTCCTTCTTCACCCTGTCATTTATTTTGGCATTTGATACAACTATTTTCTTCAGTTAAAGTTTTTGCTACAATTTGAGTAATTGGTTTTTTTAAATAGTTTTTCATATTTGATATTTGAAGTTCTCTTTCAGATTAGTGTGGATTGTGTATTACTACTGGATTTTGATAAAATTTGTAAGAAATAGTGAATGTCTCCTTCAAAATTTTTCTCAACAAAATTTTTCTATTGCATACATTTATTGCTGTACAGTTCTGTTTTTTGTTTTTTTTTTTAAAGTTTTGACTGTCTTTGTCTCTTTGTCTTGTATCTAACATCTAGCTCAATAAGAATACAAAATCACCACCTTAGGCTGTCAGTGTGTTTTGGACTGGTTGATCAGGCAAATCAAGGATAATTGTTTTCCAGTGTTAATCTTTGTAGATCAAGTCCCTGACTTATACTTTCTTATATTTAGGAATAACTGGTGGGAAAAAGTGCCAGCCTTTCCAAACTGCTAATAATAGTGTTGAGAAACTATCATGGAAAATTCTAAAGTTAACCCATCAGGATCTAGGATGTATATACCTGTGTATATTCTGTCCACCAGACTCCAGTAGACTTGGCAAATATTTGCCTTGATTATGTTTTTTTTTTTTTAAAGATTTTATGTATGTAGAAAAACTGGGGTGCAGACCAGAGGTACAGAGGGTGGGAGGATTCACCAAAGACAGTGGGGAGCAGAGCAGGTAAACTGACTGAATACACTGCTGAGGGGAGCAGCGGGGGGCCAGACAGGAGAAGTCTGCTGTGGCATGTGGACTAGCTTCCAGACCAGGGATTGAACTTGTGCTCTAGTGGCTGTGGATAGCTTAATAGTGCTGAGACTTAACCCCTTGTGCCACCAAGGAGACCCCCTTGATTATGTTTTTATCCCTTGTTACATAGGAAAAATATGAATTAAATTATTTAATCCCTGTTTCTCGTAATTTGGTTTTCATTATTGGTTCAAATTTTAAATTAAAAACCAAATAAATAACTTGAAATTAAATGTATATGAGTATATGCTTTATAAGAGAAAGTCAAAAATTATGATATTGTAGGTTTCATATTAGTCTCCTCCCAGATAAATACTCTGTATTAAAAAGTTTTACTCTATTTGGTAATTTTTTCTAATCATCTGTATTTCACTGTGATCATTTTAATGACCATTGCATGAGCATCTTAAATACAAGTGGTGTCAGTGTTATGGATTGTATTTTCAAGATTTCCTTTATTTCTTGCTATCTAATTTATTTTGGGGCTAATCTTCTGAAAACATGTCAGAAACAGCTGAGCCCTACAGAATTTCTAAACAAGAACTTTATATTTCTCATTGTGTCAAACCCAGAAAAATAAGAAAATTTTTAGTGAATGCTTATCATATTTCATCTATCATTTTATGTAACAGTTTAGTACGCATGGTTTAAATCTCTAAGCAGAATGTATGCCCCCTAAGAATCATGTCCTATTTTTTTTTTAAAGATTTTATTTATGCAAACAAGAACTGGGGTGTAAGCCAGAGGTGCGGGGGGTGAGAGGATTCACCAGAGACACAGTGGGTGCTGGAACAGGCAGACTAACTGAAATACACTGCTGTGGGGAGCAGTGGGCGAGGCAGGGGAGGTCTGCTGCACCATGTGAGTTGCTCCATGGTGGGCCAGGGATCAAACTCGTGCTAGCAGTGGCTGGCGACAGCGCTCTCCTTAACCCCTGCACCATCAGGGAGGCCCCAGGAACCATGTCCTATTCATCTGGTTTTTCCTTATGTAGAAATCCAATAAGTAATTATTGAAAAAATAAGAAAGTTGAGGCACTAGTTTGAGAAATTTTAAAGTGGTGCTATTTAAACTCTAATTAGGTAAGAATGCATCCTGATTAATTTTCCTACTTAACAACCAACTTGTTTAGATAAAAACTTTTAAGTACTTGGAAGTCTCTTGAACCTCTAATGTGAAACACCTCATCTCTCTTTGTTTTTTCTTGGTTCTTCAATTCTTTGTTAATTGGAGCCGAGATTTTAGTTTCTTATATCATTTATCATTCATCAAAGCTCTGCTTAATAGGAGGAAAACTTAAAACAATAACCATTCTCATATAATGCAATGATATGAAGAGGGCCAATTTGGGGCATATGATGAAACTGGAACTTACTGAGTTCTACACTTAGTTGTGAAATCCAGACCATGTAATTTTAAATGATGTGATACTATCTGTTACTGTCTATCTCAGCTAAATTTTCCAAGAGCTTTGGTTCAAAAATTTAGCTTTGGTTTAAGTATTTAAAAATTTATGTTGTCGTTCAAAGGCCCTTCAGGAAAAAGGATCGTGAGGTGCTTGACTGTTAGAAAAGAATAGAACATACCCTAATGAGATCGGTGACAGGATATGAGCTATGAAATACCTGTTTAGAAATGTATGTAAAAGTTTAAAAGATTTATATGATAAGTTGGTAGTTAGAGAATGAAGAAAAGCTTTCCTGGGCCTCCCTGGTAGCACAGGGGTTAAAGTCTCAGTGCTATCAAGATGTGGCCAGCCAGACACTGCAGCCTGAGTTCAACTCCCAGCCAGGGAGCTAACCCACATGGCACAGCAGACCTCTCTTACCTTTCTCACTGCTCCCCTCAGCAGTGCATTTCAGTAGATCCATCTGCCCTCCCCAGTCTCTCTAGTGAATCCTCTCAACCCCACCCTGCACCTGTTGCCTATACCCCAGTTCTTGTATGCATAAATAAATAGAAGTAAGTCTTAAAAAAAGTTTTCTTGAGGAGATTAGGATCTGTCAGTCAAGAAAGAAAAAAATAGTTTATTTTTTATATTATGAAAACTACTTAAAAGTCCACTTTAATTCTGGAATACTAAGATAAAATACTCAGAAATTTCTTTCCCCTGACTTCCTGGAGATGGCAGTAGAATACATATAGAAATTAAAGCTAGATTCAGGAGTTAGTTTTACAGATATTGTCAGTATTATCAAAGAAAGTTACCCCCAAACTATTTACCTTTCAGAAATATTTTTAGTTTAAAAATCTAAAATTAGCTATTATCCATCTGCTCTGGGGACGGGGGGTGGGGCGATCTTCTTTATTAATTATACTTTTTCCATTTCTGCTGTAAATTGTGTCTTTAAGCAAATGTCCTAATTCTTTGGGCCATCGTTTCCTTTTAACTCTAGCTTCTATTTTCTCTAAACTTAAACAACTGTAAATCATATGTAGGTTACCAGTTGCTAAAGAATTAAATGCTTTTATAATAAAATGCTTTTGGCAATAAGATTATTCTAATTATAATTTAATTTTTTCATTGATAAGACACTGTAGGGATCCTACTACTTGAGGTTTGGACTCCTGGAACAAAAACTTGTTAAAAGTGCAAAACCTGGTCTTTACCTGAGATTCTGTGTACTAACAGATCATCAGTTCATTCATGTGCACTTTAAAATTTAAAAACACTGTCTTAGAATTATACAATGTACTACTGTAATCATAACAACACACTTATTGTCAATAGAAATTTTACTAGATTTGAATTGTTCTTACCACCACCATTGTGCCAAGCCCATATTATTTGCCACTTTCTGAATTCAGAAACTCTGGAATTCAGGAAATGTGAAAAGTTTATGGGCCATTTTCATTTACAAATAATGACAGCATAGCATAATTTCAAATGTACTAACTAGCTTCTTTAGTTCCTTAAATAATGTATTTCTCCTGTAGTTGGAAATGAAGGGGTGCTGTTGAGAGTAGAATTGTCTTTGACGGAATGTGATGTGAGCACAGTGAAGATAATTAACATTGTATTACTTCACAAGCTTGTATTTCCTTACATATCCTCTTTTAGACAAATAATAGTTATGGTCATTTTATTTAATCTGTTTAGTGTCCTGCTCAGTAAACTCTAAATGAATAGTTTGTCATGTACTTAGTGTCTTGAATAAAACCTTTGTATTAATGAAGCTAATAACAGTTACAGTTGTTAATGCAGTAGTAATGCTCATACAGTCACAGATGAAAACAAACTGCTCAGGTTATTTGAGCCTAAGAAAATTGTGACTATTCTTTACAGGGGCAGAAACTTCTTACCCTTTTTCTAATCCCCCTGATTATTGTTAGTATATATTACAATCATTACTTTATGACATCTGTCTTTGAATCTTTGAACAATTAATGGACCATAGGCTCTGTTCAAAGGATTCTGCTGTCAATCACATTCCCTGACTGAAATAAAATATATACATATGTAGGTATTTTGATTTTGGTTGAGGGATGAAAATACAGTTGGTCCAGGATTTCTTTTCTTTTCTTTTTTTTTTAAAGATTTATTTATTTATCCACACAAGCGCTGAGTACAGTCAGAAGTGCGGAAGGGTGAGAGAATTCACCAGAGCCAGGGCAGGGAACAGAACAGGCAGAGTGACGAAACACACTGCTGAGGGGAGCAGCAGGCGGCAGGAGAGGTCTGTGTGACATGTGGGACCCTCACCCAGTGGCCGGGGATTGAACCAGAGCTGCAGAGGCTGCGGGCAGCTTCACAACCCAGCACTTAACCGCTGCGCCACCCGGGAGGCCCGGTCCAGGATTTCTTACACATTCACCTCTGCCTCTCCACATCTCTGCCACACATCCCCTCATTTACCAAGTTTCTGTTCATCAGGCTCAAATGTATCCATTTTGCTATCTGAATTCCACTGTGTTTTAAAGGATGAAATATAGGCAAAGCTGTCTAGGCAGATGTATTTGCTATTAACAATAAATTAATTGAGCTTTGAAAAAGTATATTGTTGTTTTGCAGCAATTTCCAGTTTATGTACTACCAAAAGTGGAGTATCAAGCTTGTTATGGAGTTGAAGCTCTGACTGAAAGTGAACTTTGTCGCTTATGGACTGAAAGTCTATTGCATTCCAACTGCTCATTTTATGTTGGTAAGTTAGTTATACGAGAGCATAGCTCTTATTCTCCTTTTTAATTCTCTTGTGAATACACACTTTAAAATTCAATTGTAGCTGTTTTTTCATTCATGTATTTGTTTTCAGTTTCCTGATTGTATTGACATTCTATTCTATTAAAATAAACACCCTTCCTGGGCCTTCCCAGTGGCGCAGCGGTTGTGCGCTGGGCTGTGAGGCTGCCCACTGCCTCTGCAGCGCCGGTTCGATCCCCAGCTGCAGGGCGAGGGTCCCACATGGCATGCAGACCTCTCCTGCCTCGCCCACTGCTCCCATCAGCAGTGTGCTTCGTCAGTGCTTCGCCTGTTCTGCTCTGGCTCTGGTGAATTCTCTCACCCTCCTGCACTTCTGACTGTACCCAGTGCTTGTATAAATAAATAAATAAATCTTTAAAAAAAAAAATAAACACCCTTCCTGCTCCTGAGTTATGTGGTGGGGTAGGACTAGTAATAATTAAGTGGTTTAATTTTGCTCATCATCTGTTTAGTTGTATATGAATGTTCAACATAATAATTTTATTTTTAAAATAATTTTTAAAACTGTAATTAAAAATATAGACGTTTTCTTATGAACTTTATATAGTGCTATTTAATTGTTTAATTGATCTAAACATTTTGAAATTTTCTTAAAATTGTGACATTTTAAACCTGAAATGCTACCTTGATGAAATGGTTTTCTGCATTTTCTTTTTTTTGAGTGGTGGTAATTAGGCAGTTTTAATTTGTGTTGGCTGGGTTCATTTATGTTAACTTGCCTCACATAATGCATTACTTGTTAATCATTGATACTGTTTCCTCCTGTTAGAATGCCTAATCTCATATTTATCAGTCCATCCCCTACATCTCAGGCAGTGAGAGGATTCACCAGAGACAGAGTGGGGAGCAGAACAGGTGGATCTACTGAAATACACTGCTGAGGGAGCAGTAGGCGAGAAATGAGAGGTCTGCTGTGCTGTGTGGGTTAGCTCCCTGGCCTGGGATTGAACTCAGGCCTTTTGCGGTGATAGTGCTGGGACTTAACCCCTAGGCCACCATGGAGGCCCACTATCATATCTATTATTGCTAGTTATGTAAAAGTATAGAGAAGGTTCATTGGTCTTTTTGTCTTAGTCTGCTCTTCATTTTTGATTAAGAAATCCTCTCAACTCTTGTATCATAAAGATGATCTACATTTTCATCTAAATTCAAGGTTAATAGGTGTCATTTTTCTCAGCACAGAAACATAAAAAGTTTCTCCACATCTTTGCCAACACTTGGCCTTATGAATTTGTTTAATTTTAGCCATGCTGTAGGGTAAGTATTACTAATCATTGATTATTGTTTTGATTTCACTTTGATTACTTATCAGGTTGCACACTCTTTCATATGGTTAATAATCAGTTTTGTCAATTGTTCAAACCTCTTGCTAACATTTCTGTTGTCAGGTTTTTATTGTTTGGTGATTCTTTATTGGTTTTAAATGTAAATATTTTTCTCCCATTCTGTCAGTTACCTTTCAGTCTCTTAATGATATCTTTTAAACTTTATATAGACCAATTTATTAAGTACTTCCTTTGCCTTACTTAACAAATATTTCCTACAGGTCATGAAGATATTCCCCAAGGTCATGAAGATACTCTCTTATTGTCAGGAAGCCTTATTTATTTATTTACTTACCTTTTTTCTACATGCATTACTTCCTGTTTCTCTGTCCTTGAGGCAACACCTGTCTTTGTTGCTGTTGCTAGGCTAGTTATTTGATTACTCTAGCTAGACAATTCACAATGTTTTAATTATTCTAGCTTTATGAAATGTTGTGCTGTTTGGTAAAGTAAAGCTTGCCATCTTGTCTTCAAGAGTTCCTTAGCTATTCTTAGTCCTATGCACTTACAAATTTTTGAAATCAGCTTGTCAATTTATACCAATAAAACAAGAAGATTGTGATTTTTGTTAGGAAGTGCACTTAGTCAAAGTAGAGCAAACTGACAGCTTTACATGATAAATCTCCCAGTCTTTGAACTTACATAATCCTGTATGTATTTTAAATTTCTCGTTTTCCCTTGTAGAAAACATGCATATCTTTTGTTAGGTGTATTTGTTGATACTGGATATTTAGATGCTGTTACAAATGGTATCTTGGAAATTTTCTTACAGTTTGTTACTAATATATAATTTATTTGGACATTGATTTTGTGATTTCATCTTATATCTAGCAACTTTACTAAAATTCTAAATTCTTGATATTTTATATAGGTTTTTGTAAATACCTTTTATTAAAATAAAGTTTCTTTCTGTGCCTAGTATGAGAATTTTTATGCGTGAATGAGTAAAAAATGATCAGTTATTTTCCCTGCATTTATTGAGATGATGTTATAACTTTCATTTCTAATGTGATAAATTGTAATGATTGAAGTGTAAATCCAACCTTGTGTTCTTACCATAAGTACAACTTTATTATAGTTTATTCTTTTTATGTATTACTGTGTTTACTTAATGTTAATTCTGTAATCTGTTTTTATAAGTGAGATTGGTCTGTAGTTTTCCTGGCCAGTTATTGGTAGGATGTTATGTGTATGTCATAAAACAAGTTGGGGTGTATACCCTCATTAGTGTTATCTGGTAGAACTTCTATAAAATTGGTGTTATTTTGTCCTTAAGCATTTGGTAAAATTTACCTGTGAAGCATCTGGACCTAAAGTTTTCTTTTTGAGAAAGTTCTAATTATAGATTCATTTATTTAATTGGTTTTAGGACCATTCACATACTTAATTTCTTGCATTAATTTTTGCAACATATACTTAAGAAATTTGTTCATTTTGCTTAAATTTTCAAAATTTTTTTTTTAAAGATTTATTTATACAAGAACAAGGGTACAAGCCAGAGGCGTGGGAGGGTGAGAAGATTAACCAGAGATAGTGCGGGGAGCAGAACAGGCAGACTGAAATACACTGCTGAGGGGAGCAGCGGACAAGACAGGGGAAGTCTGCCGCACCATCTAGGTATTTCTCCCTGGCTGGCCGGAAGTCAAACCCATGCTGCAGAGGCTGTGGACAGCTTCACAGTGCTGCGCTCAACCTGCTGCACCACCGGGTAGACCCAAATTTTCAAATTTAATGACAGATTATTTCTGATGCTCTTTTAATGTCTGTAATAGTCTTAGTTACTACCACACACATATTACTAAATTTGGGTTTATATCTTTCTATTCAGTGACTTCTTTTTCTCCTCTTAGTGCCTTTTATTAATAAGATAATTACATTTTAATCATTATTTCACCTTCTTAGAATTCTTGTAATAGATCTAGAGCAGTCTTAATATAGTAGCTACTTGACTCAGGTGACTATTTAAATATAAAATATTATTTAATTAAAATTAAGTAAAATTTGAAATTGATTTTCTCTTTCATACCAGCCATATTTCAAGTGTCCATATGTGGTTACATATGGTTACCATTTTGGACAGATGTTTTCATCATCAAAGAAAGTTCAATTGGACAGAACTACTCTAGTGATTCTCACCACTAATTTCTATTCCAGCTTTTTTTCAGACTGTACTATTTTAATTTTCTGTTCATTATTGGTGTACATATTTTTTACTCATTTACATTTATCCACACATCCTTTTTAATGTTTTTCATTTTTCTAAGAAAATTATCTCTGAGATTCTAACTTAGGATCTTTTTGCTCTGCCTAAAGAATACCCTCTATTATATTTATTACAGATCTGATAGTATACAAAGCACCCTTGTTTTTATTGCTCTGCAAAAAAAAGAAATTATTCTTTTTTGAAACACAAATATTTCATTTTTTTCCTGACTTCTTTTGTTTCTGTTGAAAGTTAACTATGCATATTTTATCTTTTTGAAAATGTCTTTGTGGGAACGTTTTTCTCAAATTTTATTGATTTGCATTGTGTATGTAACTACATACTTTTGCTAATATAACTTCGCATCTCCAAGTATGCATGTTTTACTCACCCTCCACCAAAAGCTCTAATATCAATACCCTACACATTTCCTCTCCTACTCCATTCTACTTTCCCTGTCCACTCTAGTAACCTCTATATTTTTCTATCTAAGTTATTTTTGTTGTGTGTTGCCAGTTTGTCATCTTTGGTTATTCTGCATGAGTGAAACAATCCTCTATCTTTCTTTAACTTCCTCTATCATTCTTTAACCTTTTTTTTAAAAAGATTTATTTATTTATTTTATACAAGAACTGGGGTACAGGCCAGATGTGTGGGAGGGTGAGAGGATTCACCAGGGACAGAGTGGGGAGCAGAACAGGCAGACTAACAAAATATACTGCTGAGGGGAGCAGCGGGTGCGACAGGAGAGGTCTGCACCGCCATGTGGGACCCTCGCTGGCTGGCTGGGATGGAATCAGCACTGCAGAGGCTGTGGACAGCTTCACAGCGCTGCGCTCAACCTCCTGTGCCACCAAGGGAGGCCCTTTCTTTAACTTTCTTATCTCATTTAGCACAATAACCACAAGATCCATTCATTTTGTCCAAAAATGCAATATTTCATCTTTTTTAATAGCTGAGTAGTATTCCATTGAATATTCCACAATTATCTGTCAGTGGGCATTTAGCTTGGTTTGGTGTCTTGACTATTATGAATAAAACTACTTTGAACATGGGAGTGCATAAACCTATTAGTTTTAGGTACTTACCCAAATTATTAATCTTTGGTATATACCTGAAAGTGGTATTTGCTGCATCATGTGATATTTCCATTTTTAGTTTTTTGAGAAATTTCCTTATTTTCCATAGAGACTGCACCAATTTACATTCCCACTAGCAGTGAATGAGGGTTCCCTTTTCTCCATATCCTTGCTAACATTTGTTTCCTGTCTTTTTGATATGGGCTGGTTATTCTCATAGGGATGACAAGATACTCCATTTTGGTTTTGATTTGCATTTGCCTTATAGTAAGTGATGTTGGGCATTGTTTCATGTGTCTATAGGCCATTTGTATGTCTTCTTTAGAGAAGTGTC